CAAATCACTTAAAAATTACTTACTTATTATTATTGATTGTTTTACGATTATTTTTCGATTAGTTTCGATTATCGTCATTTACATTCATACATTAATTGTAATATATGTATTACGTATGGGATTTTCAAATGACGATGATGAAAATTGAATCTATGAAAGATAGAAAGACAGAGTGTGTGTGTTTGTCGATTATTTGTCGATTATTTTAAATTAATTCTTTTCTTTTGTGATTCTCCCCTTAGGTAAGGCCGATGATAAGTTGGCTCAAATCGATTGGGATACGTGGTTGTACTTGACTGGTCCATTGAAAATTGTTCCGAACTATGACACCAGCTACAGTGATGCCGTGAAAAAGCAAGTTGACATTTGGAACAACAATCCAGTTGAAAAAATCAAAAATCACCCCGACATTGATACCAATTTGCATGTGTGGCAATTGATTGAAATGCTCACGCAATTGGTGCAAAATCCGAATAAAGTTGAAATCACCGAAGAATGGATCAGTTTATTAGAAACGACTTACGGCTTCGTTGGAACTCGCAATTCAGCCTATTTGTTTACATTGGCCCGTCTCTATGTCAAGGGACGATTGTTCAATCGTTTGAATCAAGTGTTCAACTTCTTGAACAGCAATTTCCGTATGAAGTACGTGCGACCGATTTATCGGGATTTGGAGAAGTGGGCGGAAGCCAAACCACTTGCCATCGAAAATTTCCAAAAAGTTCAATCGCAAATGATGAAATTCTGCGCTCAATCGGTTGCTAAAGATCTTGGCATCACAATCGACATTTAAAAAAATGCATGTATTTTCTTGTACTTTAAAAAAAAATCATTGTTGCAAACCCATTTGTTACAGTTTTTAACTAAAAAGCAAACTATACAATTCAAACAAAACTCTTTCTAACATTTTGATATATGTAAATAAATATTATATATTTTTTCAAAAAGAAAACGAACTCGTGGTTTTTATTGAAAAGAAATGGGAAAATTACTCACTGGAATCGAATGGCATTTGTCTATTGGGTCACCCAAACTTGGATTTAATATCGATTAAACTACACCCGAAGAGTTAGCATTCGGTTTTTCTTTTCAATTGGACCTCAAACTACCCTAAAAAGTCTATTTCAAGACATAATTACGCTGCTGTGATGAATCTGTAGAGCAAAAGTGTCATCTTACATGAAAAATCACCCATTTTCCATATAGGTAAAAATCGAAACTTGCTAGGGGCATATAACCATTTGTAAATATTCTGTATTTGCAAAAAATTTGCGTATTTCCAAAGATATTTGCAAGTTTTTTAATATTTGTACAAATTTGCAAATATTTGTCCTGATTTACGACCTTTGTATACTTGACTGTGTAAATGCAGCTAATGAGAATATCTCATTTATCGCGAAATTAAAAAAGAACTAATTAACTTCAAGTATAAAATATTTAGAATTTTTAACACTTTTGAGCACCGTTGAGCACTGCAATGAAATACCCACTACCGTGCTAGATGATGTCGACACGAGTGACGGATTTTTAAATTTATTTGAACGACGCCATAGTACTATACTTGTGCATTACAACGTACATGTAACAGAAGAAAAACACAGTTCAAGTCCACGCTAGTGGACATAAACGATTTGAACCGTCAATGTGAACTAGATCAAGTATAGAACTTTACATAGGATCATATACGATGAATATGGATTACGCAGTCTATTTCAAAATACCGTAACCAGTGTCGACACCATTTGACATCAAAATTTTGACAGTAAAAATACGTGTTATTGTTGTTGTCGTTTCATTGCTGTGCTTTTGAGATTCCTCACATGAGCATAATAATGTCTTAGAATAGACTTTTTAAGATAGTTTGAGGTCCAATTGAAAAAAACCCGAATGCTAACTCTTCGGGTGTAGTATAAAATTTCGCCGCAACGGGCCTCTGAAGATTCGATTTTTACCTATATGGAAAATGGGTGATTTTTCATGTAAAATGACACTTTTGCTCTACAGATTCATCACAGGAGCGTAAAAATTCACCAAATTCAAACTACATGTCAAATCATCATTGCGGGAAAATTAAATTAAAAGCCAGTAAAACCTTCGAGAATTTGAATAAATATTGAAAATTGTCGAACAAAAACAAAACTTAAATCATTCCTTGATGGGATTGGACGCTGGATTAATGAATGAAACATCCAACATCCAATTAACTTAATGAATTAAACTTCAGAATGAGAATAAAAATTGTCAACAAAATTAATTCAAACTTAAATAAAAATAAATAAAATCTTTTGGGTGTAAAACAAAATAAATCTGATGTTTCTTCAGAAACTTCACATGAAATTGGAATCTTTCTCATAGGCATCACTTCAGTCATGACACTTCACTCTATCAACCAAAGTCGTTCAAAATCTAATGGTTTCTATTCCTCGCAACCCCCAATCATCCTGCAAAGTCAGATTTTATATAAAGTTTCGGGGGAAGGTTATCGTGTTTACAAATGTTTGTGTACAGCGTACAACATCCATGGATACAGTATCCATTGATATATTTTTATCTAATGTTATTTATCTTGATTCTAAAAATGTTCAAAAAACTTAATACAAAAAATATAATGTTCAACGAATCATAAAAAGATCATCAAAAATCATTCCTTGGTGTGATTGGACGCTGGATCAATGAATAAACCATCCAACATCCAATTAACTTAATGAATTAAACTTCAGAATAAGAAATGTCAACAATTCGAACTGAAATAAAAATGCAGACAAAAAATAGAATACATGTTTTTAACTGAAAATTGAAACTTGTTGATCTGTCTTGTCAAATCCAAAATGAATCAGATGTTTCATCCATCATCCAATATTTCTATATACTAATGGGATATTTCACATGAAATTTCAAATGAGATGTAGAGTTTTTATCCATTCATTCGTATTTTTGAAATCCAACTTATTTATTTATCCATAAAAAATAACTCATCCATGTATAAATTAACATCTATTCTATCCATGTATGCACTATAACTCTCCTCTATCCAAGTGGATCTCTCTCTCTCTTTCTTTTCTTCATGAATAAATTTATGATGGACGGTGGATATAACTTATCCATTAAAAAACATCCATGGATATTACTTATCAAGTCCTTTTAAAAACAAAATCTATCCATGGATGAATGGATGTTGGATAATGATGGACCATTGACAGTGAGCAATATATATTTGGTTTTTGCTCTCATAAAATTTGTATTAGTATTATTTGCAGCATGTTCTGTATGTTATTGTTTTCTTCTAAGGCCGTCATATATAATTAATCAAGTTTTCTCACCTTTAGACATTTTCCAAGTAATACATCCAGTATTGAAATAAGAAAGTTTCTTTTTTCATTTTATTGTTCATAAAATTTATAAATACATTTAAACAATCTAACCTAGAGTGGGAGCACCAACTTACCTTCCCACTATTCACGGTTGGAGCGTTCAAATAACTGCAATTTTAAGTGGGTTCGCATAGCTTTTGCTCAATTTTTAGTTCAATCCCTTACTGAGTCTTACTTACTAGCCAAATTTACGGTCTAACATGAGTATACTTTTTACAGAGAGAATATTATCCTGGAGTAGCAATTGAAAATAGTTTTTGTTTTCGCTGAAGATAAAGTGAACAAGATCTTACACAATTGAGAAAAAAGACATTTTTGACTTTTGAATTAAATTGAATTTCGTAACGAATTTTTGGCACAACAACACCAGCCGTCTCTCAGATTCTTATCATCCAATTAAGCAACATTACAGCACCATCAATCACCTTTTTATTAAAGGCAATGACGATGCCGTTAACGTTATGTCTCATTTATATGGTCCGAAGATGCTGAAAAATTTCGCTGAAAATAAAATTATCACAAACATTAATAAAGAAACCAAAAACACAGCGTCATGGACGTATTTCAAATCCAAAAAATGTCTCACTCAAAAAATACTCAATGTCATTTAACGGAAAAAATATTCAGGAAATATAAACTGATCGCCATTTTTTAGTTCCCCCTGAGATGAGACATTTTGATGAGATATTTCTTTTGTATTAGAGTCCAGTGTTTACAAGGGTGTAATTCATTGCTTACCGGTGTAGTAGTAAGGTTATGATTTGATTCCTGGTATATGCTCGATAACGTTGAGAGTTTCTTCTTCAAACTATTACTATTCAATTTCTTTGGACTTATTGCGCCTGGACAATTGGGGAGTACGAGATCATTGCTGTTGCTATTAATACTATCGTTGTGTTTGTGCGTTGTTCCAATATTATTGTTGGTAAGGCCAACACTCTTCCAATCGGTGATTCGTCGTTTGCTATTGGCATTTGTTGCATTGATTGCATTCCCGATTTTTCCTTGTGCGGTAAATTTTAAATTGCCCGTCAACCATTGCGGTGGTGGTAGTAAACGCGGACTGGAATCTTTGACTTGTTGTACATTTTGTGTGCTGGTATCATGAGCTAAAATGGAATTCAAAGTGGTGCTATTCAATGGTTTCAATGTGGCATCGATGAGATTTTGTGATCGATCACGGTCTCGATCGCGTTTGGTGATAACACCGCCAGCCCGAACATTGAATGGAATTTGATTGGTTGATTGATTTACAATGGATTTGCTTAGTTGATTGGCTTTGGGGAAGGTAATCTGATCGGAAACACCAAGCACATTCGAATGCCGTCGATAATTGAAGTATTGCTGCGAAAATAAAATAGATTTTTTTTTTCAAATAATTTATCCGTGTCAAATAATGTGATAATAATAATAAATGCATACTTGTGGTAGATTTTGTCCATTGAGTAGAAGTGCATTACTGACGGTGGCGTTATTATTGGCAGCATTTGTATTGTTGTTGTTGTAGGTGGTGGTGATGATGTTCGTGACAGGCGAAAGACGTTTATTTTGAAGCAGAGTACTTGTAAGTTCGGTAGACGTAAGCAACGATTCCGGTTGAAGCGATTGGAATGGAATTGGTGATGATGGTGGTTGAAGTGTTTGACCTTTTTCACCGCTCACTCCGTTCGATTTATTCAATTTGGCTGATAAAATTCTTGAATATTTATTACCATCCTTGAACGTTAGATTATTTATCGAAATTTGTTTATTGGTCATATCATTTGCTGACTGATTAACATCACCATTAATTGTGCTATTGGATTGTTTATTCGATGATAGATTTGCATTCAACAATTCATCATTAGCGTTGACCTTATCGTTCGCCGAATCACCATTTGACAGTTTATTTTGTGTAGTATTCGTTTCGGACGATGGTTGTTGTTGTATTGATTTTGCCACAACCGGTTGAAGTAATTGCGTTGATAACACGGAGAGGTTCACTTTATTTGGCTTTTCATTCGTTTTTTTGTCTCTTCCGCTTGATTTTTTTGGATTTTTATTTGAATCGATGTTTGTTGACTTTTTTTCATCGTTATTCCATCGTCCATTTGAACCATAGCTTGGTATACGTTTAAGTAATGGATTCACTTGCATCTCTTGTGCAAGTTTTGCACGAAGTTCACTCAAGAAATTGTCGATGAAATTATCACGCACAAATAAATCATGTTTTAAAAGTTTAGCGGTGTCGGGTCGAGCATTGCCATCCATTTTTAAGCATTGAATTAAAAAATCAATGCTGTCACGATTCCAATTTGGAAACATTTGCGTTAAGCTTGTATTTTGCTCTTGTTTCATGCCACGAAACATTGCATTTCGCATTATCAAAATTTGATGGCGTGAACTTAATTTGCCAAGAATACGAACTATTTGGAATAACTGATCGATATCACTTTCACCCGGAAATAATGGTTCGCCAGTCATCATTTCACAATATAAACAACCAATGGCCCAAATGTCCACCTCTTTGCCATATCGGTCACCAACTAATAACTCGGGAGAACGATACCAACGAGTCGCAACATAATCCTGTATATATAACATTGGAAATGAATTTACATTTTATTAATTGAAGTGAATTTATTTTCTCTGTTTACCAGAGAAGGATCCATTTTTGATCATCTTTGAGATTTTTTTCCCCAATTTGCTCATTTTGCCACAAAAAGTTTTGAAAAAAAAAAAAAAAAAAAAAAATCCCAGAAATGAGCAAAAATGGACTTAGTGTTAATGAGGATGAAGTCCTCATGACCACTGTCCCCTCTCTCAACAATATGGCACCTCTAAAAAAAGTGTTTGATGGCAAAAAAAATTGAAAATAAAGACGTGTCAACGTACCGTGAACGTTTCATTTTCCGAATATGGTCGAGCAAATCCAAAATCACATAGCTTTATCACACCCAAACGGGAGACCAACACATTTTCCGGTTTTATGTCACGATGAATCACCTTCGAAAAGAAAAATGAACGAATTCTTTAAAAGTTTTACGTGAAATCGAACAATATTTTCAACCATGCCAAAAATACCAAATAAATTGGCAACGAAAAAATAATCGTTTAAAATTCCCTAAAAAAAACTTACATCATGCGAATGGATGAAATCCAAAGCACGTAAAACTTGATAAATATATTTCCGTGATGTAATATAGCCTAGGCCTCCGCTCCTTGCCTCCAATTCCTCAAGAACCGTATGCTCTAGGTATTCAAAGACGAGGAAAAACCGTTTCTTCCGCCGAAATACTTCGATCATATTGACTAAGTTTTCATGGCGTAATTTCTGTAATTGTCGTCATTGATGTTTGTTATTCAAAACGAAAAGAAAAAGAAAGAAAAAAAAGCACAAGAATCAAGTGAAACAAAAAAGTCATTGAGAAAGTAAATTCCGATTCAAAAAACCCATTTAACAAATATTTAAATGGAATGACATTTAAAGTGTTAGATTTTAATGTCAGGTGAAATAAAGGTTGATTAACGTCATCGTTTTCATGGTTGGTGGATGTGTGCCGTGTATTAAAAAAACCCCGATAAATAGAGTAAGTACGCGATGTTACTTTCTTTAACATTAAAATATATCGTCTGCATTTCTTAGCAACAATTTAAGCATTTCGTTTTGCCTAATCCAACCTTGATTTTTATCTATTTTATATGAAGCATTTGTGTGCAGAGTGGAAAATAAAAACTTTAATTATAAGTGGATAAAGTTTAAAAAACGAAAGCAACAATAAATGGTATAGTAAACGAAAATATGTTAGGAACATTCCATGATTTTTGATGACCTTTAAGAACAAAATCCAATGCACAAGCAGCGACGGAACAACAACACATAAGGAAATTTAAAAGTAAGAAACATTTACAACAAGTTTTGTTTTTGGTTTAATTGTCTGTTGTTTTCGACACGATATAATGTTTGGCTTTTGCGAATTCAAAAGAATGAAACAATAACCATTTTCATTGCCCAATGCGGTGTGTAAAAGTGGTACATTTGTACGGCTTGGATGGTGATTAGCCCATGTCTATTGCGGAAATTCAAAAAAAAAATGGCCATTCAATGCGGTAAGCCAAAATTAACATTTTTCTTTTGATTGAGGATGAGCTTTTCATCAAGTGGCGTACAAAATACGAATTCATTGTACGTTTTGAAGTGTTGATGAAATTTTCCGCCATAATTTTAATGTTTCTATATTGTTCGATTCGTGCCGACGTGTTCATGTTGATTTGGTCATAATTGCCACACTTGGCACATTGCACATACATTTCTATCTGTCCGGTTTTTATTGAATGTCCTAAAATTAGACTACAAAAATGGCTCATCGGGGAGGGGAAAAGTCAAACACTAAACAGTCGTCATAAATCCAATTCCATCGCAATTATTTCCAGTAAGTTTTTATAAATCGTTAACGGCCAACATAAAGTATATTTTATCCACATTTGCATACACGTTTATGTCTGCGTTGTTTGCGCACCAATATGAACGGGTGGTTTTTTTTACAGCTAACTTTTATAATTCATTGTACAAACAATGTTTGTTCGGTTATGTGGGTAAATAACAAAAACGTCGATTTTTTTTCTTTCTACGCAAACACACATACACCGCACCATTAAAAATATGATGAATTGTCCTTCACTAATCAATCAAAAACGGATTACCTTTAACATTCGTATTTCTCTCAGGGCCATTTTACGCACGGTTGGATCGTCTTCGGTTTCGAGAAATTTTTTAATCGCCACATACTGACCGGAGTCACGGTGTCGACATCGCATCACCAAACCATAACTTCCTTCACCCACCACCGATATTATATCGTATTTTTCCATAATTCACGTTTCTAAATCGGCCACTTTCCAAAGGCGACACAGAAACTTTTAATTGAAACTTTCCTTTTCTGTTTTGAACGAAAGAAAAATGAGTTTATTTTGAAAATGTTCAAATTAATCGGGAAAATATCTGTAGAGTAGAATTTAGAATGGCTTACTTTAAATCCGAATTAGTTTTTTACATTATTTCAAATGTCCCTGCATTTCGTTCTTTTTAGAGATGGTTTTTCTTTGGCTTTGACACATAAAATGACGCCAAAGTATTTCGTATCGTGAACCTGCAAACAAACATCAAAATTATTTCGATTAAAACAAAGCAAACAAAACAAGTCTGATCGACAATGGTGATTTATAATTGAAATATTTATTAGAGAGAGAGAGAGAGAGAGAGAGAGAGAGAGAGAGAGAGAGAGAGAAAGTAGTTAGGCATTAAACGGGTCACGAATCGGCCGTGTTCAGCCTTCGGAAATTGCTAATTTTGACTAATCAACATTCGGTGGAATTCGATGTAATTCATTTCGGTTTCCCTTATTCCTGTTGGTGCACACACGCAATCCTAACCATTTCCTTGTATTTCTGAAGTGGCTTTTTTTTACTTGAAAAAATGCATTGAACCAGTTTTTATGGTTTTACTTTTTTTCTATTGCTTAAAGAAGGGTTTCCCTTGTTCACTCTATTATAAATTTATGAATATTATCAAATGATTGCATGCCATTTCTTGTTGGAATATTTAATTTATGTATTGTGGCTGAAGAGTCAATCATATTTTGGTCTCTTTACTTCACTCTCCCTCCCTCTCTCTCGCTGTGAAGTGAGGCTAAGGAAGTAAATCAATACACCGCCGCAGTTGCATTTTTATGATGTTCGACCGTTTTTTATGTCAAATTTTATGGCTCACGATCACAATGGCTGACCAACATCAATCTATCCGCATGCAATTCGACACACCATTTTATTTCCGCATAAAATAAATTTACATATAAAGTAATTCGTTTTCCATTCAATAGTTGTAATTAATTGGTTCTACGGCGAGACGATTAGGAGAGAGAGGATGAAATTTCAATAATTTCCTCCATGTTTTTTTTTTTAAATAATAATTCATTTCCTACATGCATAGTTACGATAATGATTTTGAATAAAAAAAACGTTCTCCCGTCTATTTCAAGTCGCCAAATCTGTAATCCGTTTTCAAAGCTTTTATGTGCACACTTATTATTTGGCTCATTTATAGTCAAAGTTGTTATTGTGGTTTATGCGCATGAGAAACACTTGAATAAACAAATTGATCTAATTTCGCTATGAGAGCACCCAAATTCGTGAATGGTGCTTGTTTGTTTGGATTTTTATTTGTCCTCAAATGAATGGAACTCAAAAACAAAATGTGTTTACTCAAGAAAACTGGCATCACAATGATCTTTACCAAAAAAAAAAAAACAATACACAAGACTTTGTTTATTTACACAAAAGGGAAAAATGTTTCGAGGTTTTTACGAATGTTCAAGGAAACGTTACTCATGGACTCTGACTCAACAAAAGGCACTTTACGCGCAAAACCAATATTCAAATAAACCACAATGTTACAATGTTACGTTGTTTCGTTGACCAGTACCAAGTATGCTATATCGATTTCTTTCGTATTACGTGCTTCATTTATGCTACATTTGTGAGTGTATGAGTGTGTATGTAAATGGTGATTTTTTCCATTTGAAGTGTTTTTCGTTCTTTCCTTTATTTCCTACTCCTTGCGTTGACTTGACCAATAAATCTCCCCATTTTGAATAAATTCCAAAGTTGCAGTGTAGGTTGAATGGCCCGAACACTTTACATTGATCAACATAACAGAAACAACTAACAAAGTGGCGAATGCAAGTTTTTGTCAACCAATTCATTCATCGATCGAATAAAAACCAAATAGTCACCAAAAAATATATGAGTTTAATATACTCAAAATGTCCACGTTTGATTCTGACGAGGTGAACGAACCGCTTGCATGAATTGAAGTAAATGGTAGTTATACAATGTTATCAACTGAAGTGGACCATAAATCATTTAATAACTCACAAAAAATCACCAACGAGATTTACCCAGTTTATCTTCAATTGATCATCGATTCGATTCTATTTTTGTATCACAAAATGATATCTATTCGAATGACGAAGATAGATAGACTCCATTTGCTCTGATTAATTTGGGTGGCCTGATTTGCAAGCGTACGCATTGACTAATGAACCATTTCATGCTCAATGACTTTTGGCCACCACTTTGCCTTATATTTTAAATGGATTCAATAATAAAAAAAACACATCAAGACCGCGTTAATCCACATTTCTAATGGGAATCCAAATGCAGACAAATGAATACGAATTACGGCTCGATAATTCATTTGCTCGATCAAAAGGAACGTGAGTATGAATGAGCGAATAAAAGTATTTGGGTTGATTTTAATGGGGTTTTCGTTCCAATTTATTACTTTAATTGCATGTATTGACTTCATGTTTTATGGCTACCACAACACACCACTCTTCAAATCTTAAAAAAAGAGTTCAATTTCTTGCGATTGAAAGAAATATGCACGCATATCGCACACTTTTACAACGAATTGACATTTAATAACCTATAGCAAAATACTTCTCACTTTCTTTGCTTATTTTGTATGTTTGTACAAAGTGTTTGTTTGTAATAATGCCCCGTTCATACCGTTGTCATTTTATTTATAAATCTCTACTCGAGTTTAAATAAAGAACTTGAATGATTTGAGTGCGGAATGAAGAGAGGCACTCGAGAAGAGTGTGACAAAGAACTCGACGGTTGCAACGAACAAATTGAAGAAAGACTCCAATTACAACGAGCGTAAGAATGTCAGTCAATAATAATAATTGTTGATTACAATATTATTTACTGGCCGACTATAATCAAACGAATCGCTTACTTGAATTATAAATATTTTCCGTATCATACGGGATTTGTTTTGATATCCAATACGTCCGGACACGTTTTCCAAGAAAACAGATTTTTTTCTTCTTTTTCTATATTTCGTTATTTGATCACACCGAGACCACCTTTGCATTTGATGATTATGGTCATTGTCTTGTAATAATACGATATTTATTCCTTCATTCGCAATGGAAATGTTTTGATTCAGCAAAAATTTGATTTCATATGCTTGGTGACATCATTTTGAATCAAGCGGTAATTTAAACGTTTTTTTTCTTATACGAGCTGCGTCCAATCATCTGTTATTCAAACACAAATGGAAACGATAGAATCCGCTTTGGAAGGGATTTGTTTATATTGAAAGTGTAAATATCATATTATTATATAGTATCTCTAAATATCATATTACAACCGACTCAAGTCCCATTAAGATGATGGAATGGTCTTCCAATCGTCTTGAAGGACGTTCATTACCCATTATTGTAAAAGTAGTTACAGTCTGAAAGCTAAATGTCTTCGAAAAATGTCATCTTAGCATTATTTTTCTGATGATGTGGCTAAAATTGGTGTGGAAATATTGATGAGTCGTTTTTTTTTTTGGGTGTTCGTTAGATTTTCTCCAATCAGACTAAAAGTTCATTCAATCCAATTGCTATTCACATAATTATCGTTCGATAAATATAAAAGCGCATACTTCCGATTTTATGTTGTCTAAAAATACCTCGAAATAATGTCATATTTGTTGTAAGAAGAAAAAAAAGAAACAAGTAAATGTTAAGTTGTTGTTTTTGGAAGGGAATTTCATTCACGACATCACCCACAAATCAAATCGAACAATGAATAATGAGTATTGTTCAATTGAATCCAAAAATAGAAATTCTATTTCATCGAAATCAATTATTAACTTGTGTATATTTGTGAAATGAAAAGAACAACAACAACAGCGACGACAATTCGCCATTGACATTTAACGATTTTGAACTTAGCAAACGAACCAATAGAATTATTGCAAATTAAAAATTCAAACAAAAAAATTATTTGTCAATCGTTTCAAATGGACGCCGGTGGAATAACGAAGGACTTAAAAGCATTCATCGAAATGTCGACAATTGAAAATGTGGTCGGAGCAGCTGCCTAATTCCGAAATCCATTTATTTGGAATACAAAAAAATAACTGAATCCGTCTGGATGAGTAAAAAAACACGCCACAAAAATATAGCCAATAAGCATTTCGTTGATTGTCTGTCATTTTCCGAATTGAGGACGTATTGCATTTTTCGTAAAATTAGAGCCCGCATTTCATATTCTTTTTTTAAGGATTTTCACAGGCAAAAGAAATAAATAGAAGAAGAACATGAATAAAAACGGGCATAAAGCCTTTTTTCGACAACATGGTAAATTGCTTCGAAAATATAAAAACGACTTTGGAGTTTATTTGTCCCTCGAAGCACACATTATTTATTTATTTATGTGTATGGGTTTTTCTATGCTTTATTTCCGTCGTCGCTCAACGACAAAATATAAAAATTTCTAATTCACATTTGATGTACATTGGTGGATAGGCTGTCGTTCGACAGGAATAAATGAACGAAAACCGAAAATATATACTCAAGGAATACATAAAATTTCAATAACATCCCATGTAACAATAACATACGGAAAAACCACTTTTCACATGCAATCCATTGAACTTTACTTGCCAACACAATATTGTCATTCGATGACAATTTACAACTATTACTTGATTTATTCATTAGCGGATAGTGCGATGTCAATGTACCTTTGGTCGGTAAATGAAATAAATGCATTCATTTTTGTGTTTGTGGATAAAAAAAAACAACTCATTTCTAATGTCGAATTGACAACATATTTTCGTGTAAATAAATTTTTTGGTTCAATATTTACAATGGACTCAAGGGAATGGATCACACAATTATTGGTCTTTCAATTTGAAAAGTGTTCAATTTGCTAGTCAATTTGTAAAGGATATATGAATGAATTTTTCAATGATATGATAACGTAAATCGTGCCAACAGAAAGCGAAACTAAGCCTGAAATATGTGTCAAAACATAATTAAATCAACTTAATGAGAATTATTTTCGATTGTGGCAAAAGAAAGCCGAAGAGAAGGAAAAAAACAAACAAACCACACAATTATTTGGTTGTAACAACAAACAATTATTTTGTTGTTTTTCCTTCCAACATTGAGACTTTTTGGATTGTTTTGCCTTCGGCTCGACGAGATAGCGAAATAAGCAACTTTTCCACGCACATGAAATGCACCAAGTGTGATTGGTGCCTCCGTAACGCAAAGTCAAACAGATAGCTAGAACTTTAGCAAATATGCCATAAATGTGAAAATACCTAGGGGCTTTTATCTTCAAATGTATACGATTTATACTCTAAATAGTGAACTATATTGCAAAATCATCTGTAATACGCGCAAATAAATGTGCATAACTGCATATATTTGGTGTATATTTCGTGTATATTTCGTATATATTTCGTCTATGGCATGTTTTTTTGTTCTCTTTTGTGCGGATCTTCTTCGATTCTGTGTAGCAATACTGTGTGTGTGTGTACACTGAAGTTTGAAATACATCTTATTCACTGGTATAGGCGAGAAATTTTAATCGTATATATGATGAATAGGACGTGAATATTGTGTATAAATTTGTATGAACGAATGATGAAAGCCCCTAGGAAAATACCGTTTGTTTTTCATTTTCATTCAGAATGAAAGCGATTGTAATACGAATATCAATGGGCCAAGGAGCATTCATACAAGGAACGAGTTACTCACGAATTTCATCAGAAATATGCAATGGTAAAATAAAAGAAATTAGATTTTCTTTGCATTGTTTATTTCAAGGAGGAAATCGTGCGTGATGCCAGATTCGAGATATTTGCGGTCAGAATCAGACGAACTTTGGTTTATAATACAAGAAATATGTGCTAAGGACGTTGTGCACTTTTTTTTTGGTTCGCAAATTCACCTTCACTCAACTTTTACACGCTTTTTTAACGAATTAAAGCCATTGGCTTTATCGAGTATGATTTATCTATCAAGAAGTGTTTTGAAAGTAATGTTATTTCTTGAGTTTTGTTTGTTTATTTCGATAGGAAAATCAATGCGCATTCAAGTTCAGTTTTCAATATATATTGCCATTTGCCAATAATTGTCGGTAATTTTATGAGCATAATTATGGTTTTGTGATAATTGTTTGTTTTAATAGTGAATTCGAAAAGGCCAACACAAACCTGAAAAACAGTGTCCTTGCTTAAATTCCGAATCGAATGGTTTAGTATCAGTTTTGCCACTTCTAATTCACTAAACTACTGCGACTCCCTTAAATTGTTTTATGACGAAGTTTCTTTTTTCTCAAAAGGATCAGTCCTCTGTTATGATTCTACACATTCGACGTTGAAATTTTAGTTTAAATTGTCAATAATATGATTTTTTTAATTCTCTATAAAAACTACACCAAAGACTATCAAAACAGACACTTCTCTTCAAAAAAAATTGTTCCGACAACAATATTAATTTGGGTTGTTTGTTACAATAAAAAAAAGAAATGTGTTGTGAGTGCCGTCGAAGTCAGCACGGCATGCGACCATTTCATTTAGTTAGCACAATTGAACTGGTATATGAAGTTTTGATATTTGACGCACGTAGCCAGTACGGTGTGTGCGGTGTATGACGTGAAACAGAAATGTTTGTATGTGATTTTGTTGTTGTTGTTCATGTTTTCTTCTTTTTTCCTTCGCTCAATTTCCATTGTATCGTTTCGTTCATTGTTCAAAAAATTTCCATGTATTTTCACAATTGTTTCGACGGTTTTAGCCAAATACGCACAAACACCTGTACACACCACCCGTACGTTAATTGATATTGAATATATGCCGATTTTACATAGAAACCGACGTTTCATTGATGGGCGAATAAAATACGGTTAGACTGGTATCGTTGGCATTGCATCCATGTGTATTTTCAAATCGAAACAATACAACAACAAAATTCAACAACAGGAATCAGTTGAGTTGAAGGCGAACTTATTCAATTCTGTGTGATATGTGGAAAAATTGCAAAAAAGCAAACATTTTGTTGCCTTCTTTTTGTGAGTCGTGTGTGTGTTTTTTTTATTTTACTTTGGCAACGACAATCGTCAAACTATCCGTGTCGTTGCTCAGCGCGTTCTACGCACAACAATGCGATCTCTTTCTCTTTCTTTTTTCATCGCAACTCTAATCAAATATGAAAATCACTTTGAATTGTGTGTGACTCATTCAAGTCAATAATGTTTGATATTGGCTTTTGTGAGGATGACAATTTCTTTTTGTTATTGTTGTTGCTACTAAAACATGTTGCCATAGTAAATTGTCTGTTTTCAAGCGGCAACGACACATAGTGGCGGAAAAGGGAGAGAAAAAAAACTAACGAAAAGCCAAAAAATAGAAATCGGTGTTCACAACATTAAGTATTTAGTTTATTTCGAATTTCATTTTACAGAATTGGATAAAAACATTCTCACGTTCGGTGGTAGACGTGGTTTGCAATATGATATCGTTTTGCGCCCCACACATTGAATTGATTACCAATTTCATTATTAAAATCTCTCACATTTCCATGAAAACAGAGCTGATATAAACAAATCTCATGGAGATTATAGAATATGCATTGGAAACAATTTACTTAACGATCAACTTCATTAGATTATCTTTTTATTATTATTGTACAGTCCGAAATGGATTTTGAAAAAAAAAAACACAAAGAAACGCTCATTTTTTTCGTTTTTTTTAATAAATAAAAATTTCACTGCTTTTGCAAGAGAAAAAGATGGAAAATAAGATATACTCTTTTCTTTCGACTGAGTTTTTGCAATATTCGTCCTTTAGAAATGGCCGATATGAATAGAAATTCAATAGAGAATCTTGTCTTTCAAAGAATATCAACAAAAGGCCTGCGATCACATGTGTAGAAAGTTGAAATCTGTGCTTTTTCCGGTTTTTTCATTTGATTGTAGAACATCTTTGTGTCTTTTATAATGGAGCTCGATCACATTTTGGAAAAACATTCATTTTGGATGAATACGTGTAAAAAAATCTTCAGCATGTACGCAATTTACCAATTGTAAAGGATTCTCGGAAATTGAGCGAACTTCCATGAATATTTGAAGCTTCAAAATTTTCAATATGAAGAAAAGACGATTACTTCAATATTGTTCAATTTGACTTTATTTTTGAAATTTTTCACTTCATACAAGTCAATAACTGTTATTGTAACATTAATCAAGGGATTTTTCTTTAATTTTGAACTATGTAACAATGACAGTTTCTTTACGAAATTTTTATCAAATGTACGTGCATTTCTTCGTATGCCAAATATAAACTATTAATTCTACTCCGACCATTTTTTGCTACGGATTTAATATTTAAAAAACAAATATTCAATTCAAATTGTTATCCATATATTTTCATTTACAGTTAAAAGGAATAAAATCAATGAAGTGCCATATATTTAAATTCATGCAACTACGTTACAAATTTCATTACACGTTTTCAATGTTTTCATTTTGAATTCTTGTGGATATGAAAAATGTAAAACCTAATCTTTTGGTCAATGTTTTCCTAGTATATTCATTTCATCATAAATTTCAGGTTAACTGTTCTGACGAGGAAATTGTGACAAAAAATAATGTCAAAGTTTTAGAAAATCGTGCATACCATTTTCAATTCTTTTTCTGGTTCAGAAGGAAACAATATAGAATTTTACTTAAAAACCAGACTTAATACCATATTTGTTGTAATTTCTCTAGCTCATAATTAGTTAAAGGACACATTTACATAAACATACTTTTCATCAACAGATGTGTCACATACATTTTTTTTTGTTTTCATCATTTAAACTTCAACTTCACTGAAGCTTTTAAGTTTCATGGTTTTTTTTTTTTTCATTTGGAAAAAATTACTTACTAACTAATGTAATATAAAATAAACGTGAACGAATGAAGTAAAAGTATTGAAAAAAAAATATAGAATGAAGTATTAAAGGTCTCTGCGGCAATAATAACCTAAATCTTGGCATTTTTCGCAGAGCAATTGTGGGTGCAACTTTGACTGATCGCTGACATCCAAGCCATCCGGTTTTTCAAGTGGACGCTGTACGACAATTTGAAGAAAATTCATTAAGTATGTGTTTGGAGCTTAAGTCTCATCTAAAAATGTTATACCTGTTTGTGTGGGTAAATCTTGATTTGACACTTGATGCATTCTTGCGCCATATTCGCCCATGAGTTGCCGCTCATCCATTTTCGTTTGCATTTCGTACACTTGTATTCGCCAAAGCATCGTTTCTTTCCTTGATACGGCGTACGACCTTCAGTCTTTCTACGCGCCTGTAGGAGCAAAAAAAAACGAATAAATTTGGAATGTTATCATTCTTGACAGGAACCACTGCATCCAAAGCAAGAAATAAACGGTGTTTGTATATTTTTTAAAGTTCTAGATCGTTCTACAAATTTAAAATGCGTGCTGCGGTCAACATTACCGCTAAGTCGACATAACCATAGTCAACAAATGACATTCGCCATTTAATCACAATCGAGACGACGGAAAAATGCGAAAGAGAAAAATGTAAGTTTAAAAACAAACGAATATGACAATTGTCACCAAAAATTAGGCGAATTTTAATACGATGTTGAAATATGCGCGAGTCACATATATCACAATGCATATTCTCGACGGGCACGTACGTATTCGTTTTTAAATGTGTTTATACAGTGTAAAATAAACATAGATTTGTGAATGCCAAAATAAGAGCGTATTTTTCACTTTGGAGATAAAGCAATTCTCTTTCATTTCGGTTTAATATGAAAGTGATAAAAATAACTCGAATTTAAGAGATTTCTAGATAAAAATACATTTACTTCAGAAATTAAGCACATATTCTATTTTTGGTGAGTTGTGTGCGTCTTTTGCGATTTGTTGTTGTTGTTTTTTTTTTTGCCATAAAAATGGAATCATCCAGAAATGTTTACACAACTTATCCAGGCAATTATGCTCTTTATGGAATTTATCACTTCGATGCAATGAAATGTGATTTATTTAAATCAATTTTTTGACGTCGAACGCAATTTTGGAACGAAAAAACATGATTCACACCGTTTACTACATTAGATTTTAGTTCATTTGTGATCGATGGAAGTACACTTACCAATGGACAGTCACGAATGAAATGGTCTTTACTAAAACATATATGACACATGTAGTCCTTTGGCACCTTTTTTCCAAAATGATAGATTTTCGAAAACAAATCCGAATTCGATGCCGCCGATGACAAATGATTCATGCCACATGTATGCTGCATTTGAGCCGGAATTGTTTGAGCAATATCACCGATTTGTAGACCACTCAAACCATTCAACAGGCGCATCAAATCATCGTTGCACGCTCCATTCAGTGAATTGTTGTACAGAGAATTGAGAGTTACACCAACATTCGATGCATTTCCACATGTGTAAAAATTTGAGGTATTTTCGTTTAGATTCGATAACTGATTGATCGACTGCGGCTGCTACGCATTAGAAATAAATTTAAAACAGATGATTTTAATAAACAGTTTTTTTTTTCGATGAAAAATTTTACTGAACTAGGATTCATGTTTGAACTCGTTTGGTTGTAATTCGATTGGAATTGAGCAAATCTTCATTAATCGTTGAAAAATTTTCTTATTTTTTTATGCTCATTTATAGTTTGAAAGGAAATTCATTATTTATTTTCGATAAAATTGAAAATGATGACCATCTGACACCCGTGTTCCAATTTGTGTAAATCGAGTCTTCAATTTTTTTTTTCATACCAAATAAGTAACGATCTAGTCTTTACTTACCGCAATCAATGAACCAGCCGAGTAGAAATATGGAAACGCCGATGATCCTGGTGCCGATGTTCCAGCGAATGCAGAACCAGTTGGTGAGCTTGGTTGGTCCAAAAAGTTGCACAAGCTCTGGAATGATGACAGTTGTGTTGGAGATAGTTGCGTGGGTGGCATTTTTCCAATTGTTTTTTTTTTTTGTTTTCGATTTATTTCGAATTCCTGTTCCGAAGTTGTTAATTTTAAAATGCAAATGAACGAGGCGATCTGTAATTGGGAACAAAAAAAAGTGTGAAAGTTTTTATTTTAATGTCATGCAATTGCGTGTGTAAGAAGCAACAAAAAAATGTCGCAATCTATTTAGAGAAAAAAACTTTCTTATATATGAATCGATTTTTGGTTCGACCGATTGAACTAAATTGAATGAGTGTATGACTAACGAATACGCATTGAGTTTCCTCAATTTGCTCCTTTTCCTTTGCGTGCAATGCACATGATTTAGTGATGATGGTGAGATAATTGGTATTGGTGCCAGTGCAAGCCTAAGCAATTGATTGCAATAACAAACATAAAACACACATATACATTGTTTTCACGTGTACACACGCGCCAAATCATCACGCATGTTTATCTTCGTTATTCAACCACTTATTTTTAGAGGCACAACAACAATCCTAGAACGTACGACGCACCAACCAAACAACAAAAACACAATTAAATAAAAAAAAACAAAAGGAAAATGGCAAATAGAAAAAAAAACAATTGCTTAGACATCATAAGAAAGAAATGGGAATATTTCACATCGACATAGTTTTTTTTTCTTTTTCAATCAATAACTGTATTCCTTTTTTGAATGACAAATTATGGAAAAAAGAATCATTTTGTAACACCGATCACAGAGTTTAATTTCTAATTATTGATTTTTTTCTTTCGAAAGATAAATACGCAAAACTGATCACGCACAACGGTATTTTTTTTGCACAATATTTGCAACAAAGATCGGAAAAGTCATATGGCTATTGAAGAAAATGGGTAAAATTTCTACACAATAAATTTGAATTTGTTTATCAAAACAATGTTTGAAAAGAAAGGATTCAGCAAAAGTTAAAAAAAACACACACACAAACCCGAAATGTGATTTGAAAATTGAAAAATGAAAGTATGTTAAACTATGTTTGACTAATCAGTGCAAAATCTCGTGAATAACTAACTAGATGTTATGATATGTGCAACCGGTGAAAGCAAACTTGAGCCTGGCTCGATCGTAACGCGTACGATTGCGGCGATACAACAACGATTTCAACAGCTGAACGAGCACACAATTATCGTGAAAAATTTGTCACACATATTGATATGTAGATCGATAAACGTTTTACCGTTTTTCACACTCACTTGTCACTGCCAAAAACGCTGTTAACCGTATGCCGCCACCATTGCGATGCCTGTTAAGTGGTTGCAACAGGCTCGTCGACAAGCCGTTTGAGTGTGCGCGTATGTGACGATTTTCAAATGACCAACGCCAGTGTATGGGTATGTGTGTGGTGTTGTTCTCATCACAGTTGATGCTGTGGAAAAGAAAAACAAAAACCGTCGCATACAATTGTTTGTAGATGTATACGATCCTGTTTGACATTGCGTAATTACGTTCATGCGGTGCTGATATATTGACAAAAAACGTATGCGACACACTGATTTAATATTGGACCTTTTTCCTTCTGTCTTTTTATTTCCATGTTTCCAATTTTTGAAGCGCAATATAAAATTGATTCGAGTTTCGATCGACAACTTTTGTGATTTTTTTTTAGGAAAACACGTGCAACAGCAGCCACTTGTTAATATTGAATTTTCAGCTTTTCCACTTTCCATTCTTTTAATCAAGACGAATCGAGAGAGGAAAAACCAAATTGAGACTAGTCATAAAGTGTTAACCCAAATTTGACACACACTTGAAATAGTTGGCTTTTATTGCATCGCGAACGATATATAGACATGTGGCATTATTTTATGGCATTCATGTGTCAACGTTTTGTTTCATATTCGTTTCAAATGAAGAAAAAGTGTCTTGATTTCTAAATGAATTACATTTTTCTACTTGACGACTCTACATCATCAACTCATAAAATAAAATTCGATTTAAAAGAGAAATTTACGATCCACAAAAATCTTCAATGGTGCAGTTACTTAGTAAATGGTTCGAGTGTTTATTTGTTGGTCAGTCAACAGTATATTCAAAAGTCCTAATATTTTATATTTTTTGTGTTTTATTTCAAAGCTAGTTTCTCATGATTTTCTCTCTTGGCGTTGATTTTTGTAAATAATAACATGTATTTACCCATAAAATCTAGACGACGTACTGTCGCTCTCCACCAAAAATTCAATTATTATTCAGCGTAGTAAAAACAATAAACATAATATCCCGCTTGATAAAAACGGCGCGTACAGACATCGAGTGCGACTCACAGCTCAATGTGTACAGCTATTTTCGAAAAACTCATGCAGAATAGAACGCGGATAAACAAAGCGCAACCACAAAATCACGATCTTATTGAGTGATGAGATTTTTGTGTGTTGGAGCCACGGATATGTGTTGTTTATGTAATTTTTGGAATGCATAAAAATGACAATGAGAAAGAAAAAATACAAAGCCGCCAGCAACAGAATGGAAACAACAAAATTTTTTTTTAAAAAAAATCAGAATATAATTAGCTCCGTGATTTAATGGCATTTAATGGGAGTTTTAGATTCGCACTCCATTCTCATTCCCATGGAAAGGAAAAAGGTTTTTTTAGAAAAAATTGAGCGTGAAATGACACAATCGTTTCGGGGAAACGTTTTATTCGTGGATTTGCTAACATGTAGCAATGGAATTTGATACAGATTCAGACCAATTCCTGGTTGAGGAAAATAAATAAATAATTTAAATATGATTTTTATGCAAAACTACGATTTACGTTTATATTTGTGGCATTTGGTAAATTGCCTATATATAGACGAAATCTGAACCAAACAATTCCGAACTGAATTATTTTGACTCCAATGTACTCTTAAATATAAGATATCACTTACATTAAATTTCTTCGGACCAATTAAGTCCATAAAATAAATGGAGAAAGAAAACACCACTCAATAAAAGTGAAAGGAAACGGATATAAACGCCAAAAAAATATAAAAATCGAGAGAATGTGTTTCAAAACATAATTTTTTCTCATTTAATTTCGTTTCGTGTGTGGCAGTCACTTTGTAATCGGCGCGAAAAAAAAACTTCAGCTGATTCTGTATTGCCAGATGCAATCCATTCCAATCATTAATATGTGTGTGTACTGCCATCTTTTTCTTTTTCATCGAAATTTACAGTTTCGTATACGTAAAGATACGTAGTAATAAAAGCGAATGAACGAAAAAAAAAAATTGTGTTACATTCTTGTATGCCAAATGTGAAAAGTGTGTCTCTGTGTATGCGTGAAGGAAAGAAAACGCAAATACACTTTTACACCGCACCTAGAATCCGCATATGTATAAATATCGCCATAAAGACATTTCAAACTGAAATCGGATCGACAAGTTTCTATTGGTCTCTTTCCATTTATGTTACTCACACACATACCGTTTTTTCCCTTTTAACTAAGCTGTGAGTGTTCTTTTTTGTGTTGTTTCTCACTAAAAGTTGGGTAAGTGTAAAAATTTGGTTGTCTCTTTCGTGCTCGTCAATTGAATTGACTTTTTCTTTCAATATTTCGCTTACAATTTCTTTTTTGTTTCATTTGTTCGCGTTTGTTTGTCAAAAAAAAGAGAACCACACACCGAAAAGAAGAAGATTTTTATCTTGCATATTTGGTGGTTTGGGGCGAGAGCATATGGATTACACTACCAAAAGTCATAAACAAATCAAGTTGCAGCTGCATTGGTATAGTTAACGAAGCAACAGAGAAATTTCAATCGAAGTAAGCCATAAAGTTATTTGTTTTGAACAAAAATAAATACAAAAAAAAAAAACAACAGCGAGAGAGAGAAACACCGACTAATTCGCAACGTAAGCAGCAGTTAAATCGGTGATGATGATGCCATCAAACGAAAACAAAGTCTGTTGAAAATTGTGTGCTGCACAAAATTTGAAGTGAATATTTGGTGTGTGTGTGTGTGTTTTTCGAATCGTGTGTGAAGGGTTGAGTGATACGGTGTTCTGTGAGAGACAGCATTTGTGTGTGATTTCATTTTTTAATTTGTTATTGTTGTTTGATTTCAATCATATTTTTTTTGTTAATTGTGTCTTCCTGTGTGTGTGTGTGTGTGTGTGTGTGTGTGTATGTGTCGTCTTTGAAGCAATTGACCGAAGATTTTTAATTGTACATATCACCGAACAGACACTGAAACATACACACATATATATACGCATTTATGCACATCGCAGTGAAAACGTTGTTTCACATGAACATTTCGGCTCGCAAATGAATAGTAAGTGAACGAGGCGAAAAATTGCTTTGGTGATATGAAAAAGTGGCAGAATAAACAAGAAACACCAACCAATTTCTTAGATATGTACGATGAAATTTTTCCTCCGCAATATTGTATTTCCGTGCATGTCAAATGTTGTGTGGAAGAGAACAAGAGAAATTTAAATAGAAAGAGAGACAGAGATAAAGAGAGAGAGAGAACTGTGTGCGCACCGTTTGTGTGGTGTTTTTTTTCTGCTTTAGCATTTTCTGTACATACATTTGTTTTCTAGCAAACACGAACTGAAAATTCCCACATTCTTCGTACATATAGACTTTTCTGTGCGCTATTTATTCTTCACTAGTTCATCATCGAGTACATCGAATTTGCCGAGCAGTCACATCTATTTCACTGTGAGTGGTTGGCCGATTCGATCTTTGTGAAATTTGCATCATTCGTGTGGCCGAATATGTTTATTGTTTTGTATTGTGAAACAGATTGAAGCAGCCCAAAAAAGAGACTGTTTTGGCTAGAAGAGTGTATGTTGAATCTTCAAAACAAAAACAACATCATCGATGTCAACGTTCGATGGGCTCTAAATGGCGAAATATTTTTCGGCCCATTTTTTTATATTACTTCATTGTGAACTTAACGACATGGATAAACATTTTGTTGTTTGCTGAAGAAAAAACTTTCATCGCGAATTCATCGTTGTTTTCTTTGTCTGCTTTTTTTTCCATAGTTGTGTTTCGCTCACAAAAATTGATTACCTCTGCACCTTGGTACTTTGTTCAGTTTACATGGTTACATTGGCATTTGGATGTGTTTGTGTGAAAACGAGCGAGTGAGCGAGCAAGAGAGAGAGAGAGAGAGAGAGAGAGTGTGTTTGTATGTCATGTGTGCGTATGGTTGTGAAATGAAGAAATATTGCAGTAAAGTCGATGTGATAACACACATTTGATAGACCAAACAAACAATGACTTCTTTGGTTTGTTCCACGGCATTAATTTTTGTTTTGTTTTCATTGCATCAATACAAATCGTAATTTAAATCGTTAACACTTCAAAATATCTGCTCAATGAAGTAATCAAGTAAATTAAACGAAATAAAAGCCAGATCTTTCGCATGTTGAAAGCGAAATATATCCGCGTTTGGGTGAACACACGTATTACACACAGTCAGTGTTTTAAGAAAGAAAAAAACACATCATCGAATCGAAACAGTGTGACTTCTGATGAGAGTGAGATAAATTCGGTGAGTGAGAAAGAGAAAATGAAATGGTCATTGCAAAAATATACTGAAGAGAATTAAAATCGCGGCTCAAGCTAAAAAAAAATGAAGAAAATATATGCCCATTCTGACAATCAAAGTAGTTTTGTTCAGTCACAATATGAATTAGAACCGTGTTTTCCGTCTGTTTTATTTAATTGGTTCGAAATGTTTGTGTGTGTGTGCTGGTGCTGTGTGTTTTTGTTCGCACACTCGTTGTGCAAATAGAATACACACAAAATTTTGACATTGGTAGTGTATGTGTATTGTGTATGTATTGGCTGTGTTATTTTTTTTATTCCTCTTCTATTGTCGTTCAACATGCAAACGCGTCCACAGATGTGTTGTTTTATACATTGTTTTTATAGAAAGACAGTTGAATCGTTGCTGTCAAAACGACGACAAAGCTAAGACACGCTTATCTCTCCGTCTTTTTTTTTGTTCAAATGAAACATAGAAAATAAACAGAAACATTTTTCACTTTTGGAAAATTTGAGTTTATGTCAGAGTCAGGAACGAATAAACTTGTCAAACAAATGGAAAATTGATGTGTGTGTTTGTGTCAAAAGTGAAATAATCGAATCTCTCCGGTGCGACGATGGTTTGTTTTTGTTGATGATTGAATTGCGTTGATTTTGTGATTTTTTCGCTCTGATGTGATTAAATTGACGCGTCAATCATTCGAATAAGAATTTATACATATCGAATGCAAACGTGGATCAATTGTGTTTCTTATTGAATTTTTATTGTGAAGTTTTACATGACAAACATTCAGTATACGACCATAAATCTATGATTAAAATATATATATGTGTGGAAAGAAGGACATTATTTCGATAGCCAGGTATGTGTGGCCTTCCAGTTCTCTAACAGCACACAATCATAAATTTGTTTACATATTTCACATTCCGAACAAATCAACGCTAAATAGCTGTGAGATTATCAATAAACTAATGATAATCGAATATTTTACTTGTATGATAACACACTGTTTTCCATATTTTTCGAATATTGGAGTACTGTGCATACATGTTGACAATGAGACATTGTATTTTGTTGAGTTAACCTAAAGTGTCATTAGATAAAAACCATCGTATATCATCGTCTCTTTATGAATAGAGAGCGAAAAAAAACCTTTGGTATTCTATTCACATTTTCAACTTGAGACAATATAAATTGTTGGTGCATTTTTTTTTTATTTCTTTGTAAAATTTCCAAAAGTGCTTTGTCCAGTGTTCAATGCTTAGTGTTTTTTGTTGTTCTTCTCTTTTCTCTCTCGCCCTACAATGGACAGTCAAAACACACGTATCTCCATTGTATGTAAACTGAATATGCTCTGTATTGTGTTCTTTGAGCCGCTCATTGATTGTATAGAAAAATACTCAATTGAGAGCTATGTACAGAGCACAGAGCACAGAGCACGGAGAGAGAGAGAGAGAGAGAGAGAGATGTAAAGACATAAGCACGTTTTATTGAAATGGTGACAATAACAGTACTTGATGTAAATGAAAGAAATAAAAATGGCATATAGAAACGATATTTATTTTTCGTCAACACAGCGCTTTCAACAATAAAAAACACATACATACACACTTTAAAGTGTTCGAAAAAGTTGGGCGATTTGCAGCGGAGTAAAAAAAATACATTGCAACAGCAAAATAATCAAATGCATATTATGAATTAAACGATCCGAAAGAGATGTACGGTGTGATCGTCATCGTTTAGATGTATGTACATGATCAAAATGGAAAATAGCTGAAAAAGTTCAAATTCCGAAGTTGAAACGATAAATTCTAAATCGTCGTTTGCCGTTTACGAAAGCAGAGAAGACACAGCCGTTTTCGACACTATATGCGATGAGCATGTGTGATTCGAAAAAGAAGAAAAATAAAAAATAGAGAAAAATAGTACGCAATTTGTGTGTATGCGTGCATATGTGCTTAAGATATTTGCGCATACTCTTCAACTTTCGCTCATAGAATATCGAATGCAAATGATCTATTGGACGTTGGTGTGCTATTTGTTGTTGTTTCACCGTCATTTGTACTTCTATTAGCCATTGGATTGCCTCAAGCAAATAATGAAATAACAACAAATAAATGATGTTTTCATTGGCGTTAATGTTCTTAGCGAAATATCAGCATCATGATGCAAAGGCTGTACACGATGGCTGCCGTTAATTGCCATGTGTCGATCGTGTGTCATCCGTGTTTATGTTCACATTTCTCTCTTTCACTCCTGTCATAGATTTATTTCTATTTCACACCGTTGCTGGCTGTCGATCATCAAGAGCACACTGTAATTAATGTCGTGGCTCTTTTTTTTTCTCTCTCTCTCTCTCGCTTCTTTTCTGGACGAACTGCAATAACGCAAAATGAAAGCTATGTGCTTACGTTCGTATGCACAACATTCTATTTACGATACACTTTTTTTGCGGCATATACTCATACTCACTTATGGTAATATCCCGTGTGTAATTATCTCTCATCTAATATCGCCTTGATGGACAACAGCACAAAAATAAAGAACACACACACACGGGTGTCCATACACCGATACGATTTCTCGGCCAATTCAAAACCCGGCCACCTTTCTGCTACTCGAATTCAAATCAATGTGTATAGCTCTGGCATCTAGCAGCATCTCATCACAATGGTATCATTACCGCGTATGCATTCTCATGGGTAAACATGGTAGCTAAGAAATTATAATTATTTCGCTGTGTACAATGTACATTTTTCTATGTCTGACTCTCTCTCTCTCTTTCTCTAGAGTTTTTTTCATGTTCATTTAGCATTTTCATGGAAACAAATTATAAAGAATCATGTGAAGATGCGGAGTGTTTTTTTTCTCTTCGCTCTATCTCAGTGAAATGGTTTATATATTTCTTTATTGCATGTAAATTCCATTTACATCTCTGTTTTTTCTTCTTTTTTAAATGTGTCGGCACATTAGAGAGGTTTATAATTCGCCGACTTCCGATCACCGACTATTGCAAATATAAACCGAGCTCAAAATTCGTTGCATTATTCGTTGGCAGCATTTTTATTGGCACACAATCAACGAAACGAGAAGTGAGAAGAAAAAACACGTCGTAGAATAGATTTTTTGCATGTTTTCGCCTCATTTTTCCTACACCGAACGCGTAATTGCAAGAAGACACAAACTGCAATCAATTTCTGCTGTGATTTTTTTCTCCATCGATTTATTTCCTGTTTATAAATTCAAGGAATGTTTCAACAATTATCGACGATTGAATATTGCAAATACACACCCTTCGATTGATTTCTCACTGAATTCCGCAAATGCAATTCTCTAATCCGATTTATCCGTGTGTTCTATCTCACAAATCAAACGCAACACATATACGATCAGACATCGGAATTGATTAAATGCTGTGTTGCATTGTTTACATACTCAATTTTCAAATTGCAATACACACATATCGAATCAAATATGCAATTTGTTGCTTAATCTGGTGAGCAGAAGGGGATAAGCGGGTGCGTTCGCGCGCGCACAACATTTCATTTGTTCGTAATTCTTGAGCGTTTTTTTCTGTTTTTTTATTTGCGTTTTAAATTACTTACTTACTTAATTTCATGTTATTTCATTCGATTCACGATCTATCTCTTACTTGCTCGTTGCATCGATGCAATTTTAATTTACAATAAAAATTATTGTTCATGATTCATGGCAATCTCTCGTGCTTTCAGCTCGAAAATGCAAGTGTAAACAATAAGAAATGTTTTTTTTTTTTTTTTTTGAGTAAAAGCACGCATTTTGATGTGTGTGTGTTTCGGTGGTTTTTTTCTTTTATTTATCGGAAGAGAGTACAATGAAAGAAAATTGGTTAGAATTTCAACAAATTTCAATGAATAGTTTTCTCGTTAGTTTTATTTAAAATGCTCAACTTTTATGGATGACATTAAAATGGGATTTCAGTTGAGATTTAATTACAATTTTCGGAATAAATTGTCGAAAACAAACAGTTTTTTTGGGAGGCAAACGAATGAAACGGAAACCGACACAAATAAACGAAATCCATCGAAGAGTGCTTATGTCAACAGTTTTTGTTGCCGGCCATCAAAATCAATTTATGAAAAAACGCAAATGTATTCGAGTGTCGGAAAGAGGTGGAAAGATATAGAGAAAGAGAGAGGGAGAGAGAGAGAAAAGATTTGGGATAAAAAGTTGCATAATCAGCAAATATAAAATAATAGCGTGTCATATTGAAATCTTCAATTTATAAGTGTTACAAATATATAGCACAAGATCAATATTATTTAAATGAGTGTGAGTTGCAAAGAGAATATTATTATCTCTCATTGTTCGGCAGTTTTTCCACACCAATCTCTCACGCTGGTATTGTTTAATAAATCATGTTTTGCAATTGAAATAAGCGCAATATTCCCAATATGATCGGATGTTCAAAGTATTAAAATGTGCGAGGGAGAGAAAGCATCGGCACAACGAAAGATCAGAAAACAATGGAAATATCTATATACATATGAATATTATTGAAAACGACACAAAAAAACCGACCATTTCTGGCTGCCAAGCAAATAAGCAATTTCCAATTGACTATGCCTCGTTTCCATGATACAATTTTCAAATCGTTTCACTTGTAAATTTTGTATTACATTGCACATTTGGACGAATGCATTTCTTTTCTTCATTTTTTTCATTTCATTATTATTATTATTAGTTTCTGCTGATTCTGCATCGGCTTTCTTTTTGCATACACGTCAAATTAGATGAATACTCTGTCTATCTAGAGAGTAGCAGATACGGAAAGTGTGAATAGACAAAAGAACAGGCCTATATAATTTTTGATTCAAAAGAGTTCAAATCGTGTGCCTCATGTGTGTGTATATTTGTGCTAATAGAGAAGAAAAAAAATCGGTACAGTTCACTTATTTTTAATGTATACGTAATGCGTAACATGATGATCATTCGCACCACGAATTCCTTCCACTGGTTGCCCGAATGAGCGTGAGGGAGATAAAGAAACAATAAATCAGAAAATGCACTTCTCTTGTTGATTTATAGTGTTGCACTCTAAACCACACGGCATTCATCCATACGTGTGTGCGCGCGCGCCTCACAATCATCTGTGGAATTTCTAATTCAATTTGAAATACAAATAAACGTACTATCATACGTTTGCACTTACCATACAGACAATGACAAACAGAAGTTGAATCAAATTGAATATAAAAAAAAAAAACGATGAGAGCACCCAGCAAATAAAAAAAAAAATCTGTGCACACATGTGATGTCATTAGCTTTTGTATATACATGACACTTGCGTGCTGAATATGATTTTTTTCGTTTAAAGTTCTGCATTTCTCTTTTACATTTTGATTCGGTCACACTTGTTTTCGGTTATGTTCGACAATAACGGAAATCATTCGTATGTAACGAAATGAATTTGTATACACAATAAATGTTGAGAAAAAACAACAACATCCAAACCACACCAAAACCAAATTAAACCATTCAAATGATATTTAATTGGTATCTACATCTGAATCATTGCTGCTTGCGGTTGCCTTCGATTGTATTTTACATCATTTTCACACCCAAAGAGTATTTTGTGATTCTTATTCGTCTTTTGCTATTCTTTGTTTTAAAACAGGCGTTAAGAGGTCATGGTTGTTAGTAGTGGTTTTATGGATCATGTTCTCGCATACGACCGTTCGGAAGTTTATCTGCGTGCGAATGGTTTGATTCCAGCCGCCGCACAACCGATAAACAATACATTGAATCGTCAACAACAGGTGAGCTACTCACATACTTAGTACACTGATTTGCATCCCCACAATGTGCGCGGGGAAGTAATTTAATTAAATTGATCAATTAAAATTCATTACTTTTTAGAATCAACAACAGCCACAACAACCGCCATCCACGCAACAATCGATAAATTCATCAATTATGCAACCATCAGCCAATGTAAAATCCAATAATAATGGTCAATCGCCGGCCCGTGTCATTTTAATTTGTCATTCAAATTCGCATCCATTTCAAAAGCGAAACATTTTATTGGAACCACGGCAAGAAATTAAGGTTGGCCGATCGGTTCCACGAAGTCGGGTCGAGGATTCAAATGCAATATTCGATTGCAAAGTGCTATCACGAAACCATGCCATCATATGGTATACCGATGGGATATTTTTTATTAAGGTAAATGCTCTATGGCACTGTGTACACGTCCGCACTCTTGTTTGTTTTTATTTTAATAATTCATAAATGCAATTAATTTTGAACTGGTTTGCTGTTTTTTTTACTAATTGTGGAACGAATCGGGTCAAGTTATGACATAAATATGTTTGTTTGTTTTTTGCTTTCGGTTTTTTTAAAATATAGGATACCGGCAGCAGTAATGGAACATTCATCAATAGCCAACGAATCAAATCAAATGAAGCATATGAAATATCATCCGGTGATGTGGTTCAATTTGGTGTTGACGTCATTGAAAATTCTCGAAAAGAAACACATGGCTGTATTATAGCCGTGCTAAAGCTCATAACGCCTGATGGCATCGAAAAAACCTCGTACCAAAATCCGATCAATCCAAATTCGGGCTCATTTGACAATGACATTTTCCGGCTCAAACAAATCATGCATGAATCATATTTACGTGAAATTCTACTCGAAGAAAAATTAGTTAATTTACAAAAAGAGGTGTTAGCCACATGGTAAGACCATCATATTGAAATTAAAACATTGTTCACAAATTTTAATCACATTTACACACAATCAAAACAGGAAAAACTCATCAAACACGTGGCAAGCAATGATCCATGAAGATCTTTTACTAAGTCGTATCGATATCCTAGAAAATAAGTTATCATGTTATCAAAAGAATATAACAAATGAAAAATTACAAGAGCAAATCAATCGATTACAAGATGAAAAAGAAGTGTATCAAGTAAGTGTCGAGATTTGATTTTTGCATTCAACTGATTTGCTCATTGTTTCTTTGTTGTCATTTGCAGAAAACCGCAAAAGAAGCCTTAAAGAAAGTGTATCAGGAGCGATTGGCAGTAATGCGAAAATTCACAAAATTTGAGCAATTTTGGCAGGCGAGCGAAGATGAATTGATGCTGTTACGTGCACAATTGGCCGATAGCAAAGATAATGATGAAAAACTTCAAGAGATGAACAATTCGAATAGTGAAAGTATTCGTGAACAAATGGCACGCCAAGAGGCTGAATGCAAAGCGATCAAAGCCGAATTTGAAGAGGCTAAACGTGAAACGGAAGAGCTAAAAAGTCAGTTGCAAATTATCGATGATTTCAATGAAGATGATCTGTTGAGCGTTGAAAATCGTATTGGTGGCGATCGAAATCGCAACACACCCGTCTGGAATAAACAAAAAGAGATCATGAAATGGTTAAACAATTCCGATTTAAAGCAGTTAAAAGATTCCGACGAAATTATTAATGCCATGTGCAATGTATGTGACCATTTTCTTGTTGTAATCAATGACCAGTCAGTATTTTGATTTTCGCTTTTTTGCATTTTACAGGACACAAAAAACAAAGAGTTCTTAAAAATCGATCCACATCAATGTCTCAAAGTGTATGAAAAACTTTTGGACATCGAAAAGAAATTCACATCAGCAACCACCATCACCACCACCACCACCACTACCACCAATAAATCAACAAAAATCACCACTGATTCAACTGCCTCACTGGATAACAAACACAGTATTGGTAAATTTTAATCGATTTTTAATCAAAAACCGACAGTTTTTTCAAGTATATACGTACATTTTCAGCTTCAGACACGATGATAATCAATAACTGTGAGGAGATTGCCACGAAAAGCGCCGATGATAGTAATCATAATACGGAGAATGGTGAAAGCAAAGTGATCAATGAAATTGAAACAAAAGAAAGTAATGCCAATGATGTGGTCGTCGTGAATGAAGAAAACCAAAATAGTCTAGAGACAAATGACGATAGTCAAGTGAACGCTGTTCGAGATTTAATCGTCGAACTCAAGGATATGTACAATGAATTTTTATTACAAATAAAACTGGTGCAAAAAGATCTTATACGCTCGGCCAAATATGATGAACTAGAATCAAAGGTAAATTTCTATGAATAGATCGATTTATGTGTTTCCCTTGTGATTACCGATTTCCAAATTTTTTTTGCATAGTTTATAAGTACAATGTTGGAGCTGCAATCATTACAAAAAGAGCAAAAACGACGTGATCTACTGCAAATGATACAAAAAGAGGAGATGGCTCAAGCCGATGTGCCTCTGAGGAAAGTGATCAGTAGTAGCGGTGGCAGTACAAATCAAACGGATGAAATTCGGCTGAATAACAATCGTGATACGCTTCATTTTGACAATGATGCAAACGATGATGATACAACGGTTGCCGATGACATAATCCTCATGAAAACGGATGCAGACAATGGTTCAACGTTAAACAACACCAACACACTTGTTAGAGATAATAGTTCATCAAAAATCACGGTAGGCCAACGATTTTTTTTTTCATTCAAATTTTTTTCATTCGTAAAATTGAAAAAAAAAAAAAACAAAACATTTCAGCCACAAAATTCGGTCACCGATTTTGACGATGGATTTGATTCGATGTCAACCGCTGACGAAACAAATAATAGTAGTACAAATTCAATTATTACCCAAATCAATAATGGTTCGATCGCATGCGATGACTTCAGTGAACAAAGTATATCGGATTCGGTGAACGATGATTTATTTGAAACACAAACTGTGAATGGTCAAAACGAAGACAACAATCAAGAGCTCGAGAGAGAGGTAAGGATATGCACATCCATCAATGCGTTATTTGACACGATTAAACTTTTTTTATGTTCTCAAAACAGATGATGGGCCATCGGATTCAGCAATTGGAAGATGCACCATCGGTCATCGACAGCAATTTAGATGATGATTATGTGGATGAAAAGGAAGCTTTAGAATCGTTTGATCGAATCATTGAAGAAGAGAGTAAATTGATAAACGAAACGGATATTTTGAAAGAAGAAGAATTGGTCGAGCTAAAAGAGAGATGTGTCAAATTGACCGATGACAATGTTGCACTGCGTCGTGAAGTCGAAACATTACGTTTGTCAACCAATAAACAATTTACAGTGCTGATGTATACAGCATCATTAGCCGCCTTCATTGGTTATCTATTTTCGATATTTTTTTCATAATCGATGACGGGAGTTTGTCATTCCAATAGGGCGACCGTTGACGATGCCGTTGACATCGTCATCGTTACAATAACAAAGGCTGAGGGACATTTAATTTTTCGAACGACACATGCGTTTCAAACATCCGAGACATATAGTTCGATTATATTTTGATTAGTCAACAAAAGAGATATCAGCAAGAATCAATGATTTAGTTTATCTGTCACTTTATCTCTCTTTGTGCAGACCAAACAATCTCTCTCTCTCGCTCTCTCGCAATCACTTCGAAAGAAATTGTTTCATCGCAGTCCATGCAACAAAAAACAACAAAAAAAAAACACAAAAACACAAAAACATAGTATTGCACAAGGAGACAAAGAGCGACACACATGCATTAGAAATCATATAAATAATTTACAAACATTCATTTTCAATAGAGACAAACAGCAACAAACTATACACAAATTGGACATGCGTGTTTAAATAAGGCCCAATTTTACAATAATTTATATACATATTAAATAGTAGATATGATGTAACATATAAAAATGCATATTTTAAGATCATTCAAAATAAATTTTCAAAAAACACAACAACACACAAACACACACACATACACATACTAAATTATCTCATCTTCATTCAGAATGAAGCAAATTAGTATAGATTTATTATATTCAGGCGGTGAAATATGAAACGGCCGACGTCATTTTTTGGAAATACTTTAATACTTTTGCCTGTGTGCACCTTCGCCATCAAATTCATTATACTTGTTTTTTTTTTTTTAATTCGTTCGTAAATATTAAACTAAACAATTAAACTAAAAACGCGCGTTCATGTACAAGTCTAAAGAAAATGACACACAAATACACATGGGAATCTAAATTTTTTTGCGAGAATCTTGTTTAACAAAATCTTATTATTTTTTCTTTCTTTATAAATTTAAATTAATTCTTTTTTGCCGTATATTTTTTAAATTAATTTAATTGTACCATTATTTTTTTTTTGTAGAGCCCATTAAATGCTTTAATTGTTGTTATTAATATTTGTTTCTACTTTTATTTTGATTGCTCATTTTGGTTTGTGCCAATTATTATAAACGCAAAATTGATGTTGTTTTTCCATCAACATCCATTGAAGACGGAAATCGGTTGTAAAACACTTTGATTTATGAATAGTTCGAGATAATTTGGCAAGCGTCCACGAAATAATCACAGTATGCAACTATTTATGTGAAACAAATTTAGGCTCGCAGTGAAATGCCTTTTGTTCGATTCATTTTTCGGTGTTTAACTTATAGGAATCATCTTTTCATGTAAATTGTTTAATTTTTTCGCCGATTTAAAGTCTGGAGCATATAGCTCACGCGTGTAAAGAGTTCGAATCTAAACACGGCCACCATTTAAATCAATATAATGCACAATTTTTAGAACTGATTTACAAAACCAAACACATTTATCCATATTTACAGATGAATTCCAAAAAAAGAACGACCTGTCAAGATTTAAAGAAAACTCATTCAACATTTTCGGTTCAAACAAATTAATTTTATTCAATTCGATTAAAATGTTGTCCAATTTTACTAAATTTATTGAGAATGATGTGAGCACATGTGTGCCGTGAAATCAGAACCATCAACCACCCGTTTAAATATTTGCTGGTTAGTCGTGATTCGATTTCATTGCACTAACTATGCTCGTTCTGCAGTTTATTTTCTAAAGGAAAAAAAGCAAAAACAAGAAAATTTCCCTCATAGACTCCATGATTTTCTAACGGTCACCTTTTTTTCAAATTAATTAAACTTAACAAACAGCAACAAAATAAAACAATGCATTTACGAGAAGAAAAAACGAAAACAAAAATTATCTTGTTGAAACAAACAGACAATGTGAATAACAAATGAAAAAAAACTCAACAAAAAAAATAAATTTAAAAAAATCGACGAAATTGTTTTTATTTGTTTTTTGAATCAATCAATCAAAAGGAAATGAATTTCATTCAAAATTACCAGACTATGATAATAAATTAGAGCCTCTGATGATGTGAATGCAACACACTCTTTTGACTGACGATATAATATTTGGTAAGTCTACAATTTTTTTTTTTTTTTTTCAAATACTAATTTTAATTCAGATGATTCCGGCTTCAAATTGGTTATTTTTTTCGCGTTTATTCGACTTAAACTTATTTGCATAATATTTTTCGTGTCGAATTGAACACATAACTAGTTCACATTCAAAGCATTGTTTACAGTTTATGAATAACAGCTTATGTACAATGTACATGTACAATTTGTTATTTAATGTCTTTATTTTTAGATTGCAACTTTTAAATATCAATAAACGAAGTCGAGATGCAAAATCGTTGAAAATAAACGCATTTTAATCACTACAATAATATTATTTTTTTTGTAACTTTTTAGTTAAGTGATCAAGAGTACGTTCGTTGATTTCATCAGAAAAGAAAAAAAATTAGAGAAGAAATGTGCACCAAAAACAACAAAAAATCTTTCGATCTCTTCGAAATAAATGAAAGACGATTAAAATTATCGAAAAAGTGGCAGAAAATTTTCGCTCAAAAAAAGTAAGAAAAACGAAAATCAAATTTTGATTTGAACAGAAAATTGTCACAGTAAATTTATTAGATTTGTTTTTAAATAAGAATGTATGAGTTGGTGGTGATATCTTTTCTCTATATCAACATTTTAAATCTTGAAAGCATGTAATATCTAATTAAGTATAAGTCTTAAATTAATTTAACATTTCCGAAAAAAGTCTTTTTTTGTTGTTGTTATTGATATTGTTTAAAAAAAAAAATTGTTTCGTCAAATCAAATGGAATTTTCTTCTTTTTTTTGCTTTCATTACCAGTGACAAGTAGAGATTTTCTAAAAAAACGAATTTAATTTTCAAACAAAACGAACAATTGAATATTCAATACTGACGTACAGTTTAATGATTTTTTGACATGATATTAATGTTATTCGTTTCAATCTGTATAATTCGAAACATTTGGTATTATAATATTTATCGATTATATTATTATTTTAGTTGCTGTATATTACAGTTTGAAAGAAATGCGCTTTCTCTGTAGATGTGTGTGTGTTGCGCCATACACACGCTCAACAAAATTTTACACAATTAGACTACGATAATTTATTATTTGCCATTTGTTGAATGTCACCAATTATGGTTCCATTATAAAATACAATTGTTCTAACAGATTTATTTATTTATTTTTGTTTGAAATTTTTTGTTGTTTTATTGTTGTATTTTAGTCGCTCCTCGTTCGATGATTCTATACGATAAATGTTCTAGAAGGGTGAATTGCTACCGTGTGGATTGTGAATTGGCGGTGGAATTGTATACGATAATGGTTGAGCATTAGTTACTAAATTATTGCCGGGTCGCATCGAACCATTTTTATTATCCGACGATGTAGCCACTGCTGCCTGTCTCATTTGCTCCAAAGTAGCTCTGTAGTTATTGCCCAAAAAAAAATACACGAAAGAAACATACATTTAATTAGAATTTTTTTAAACCCAAATTGACTAAACTATATTCACATAAACTAGAGAAAAAAGAAGCGAACACATTCAATAGATTTAGAAAATGTTGAAAACAATAGTATAAGAAACCAATGAGTTAAAAATTAAAATACCAAATAGAAACAAATAAAAAGTAACGGTAACAGTGGTGCATTTAGAATAAATTAGCCAAAGGTAAACAAACGGTGATTGTTAGTGAGATACAGGTAGATACATGCATACACGCACACAGACAAACAATTCAAAAAATTTGATACTTTACACATTTTGATATGCACATAATTTTTGGCAGATTCGGATGACAGAAATGGTATATCGCCACTTCGGGTAATTTTTGGCTAGTGTGTTGTTATTTTTATTTTATTTTTTATGGTTTTGAAATTTATTTCAATGTAAATAAAAATTGAGTGTGTCGTGTGTTTATTTCAAATCATCTGTCTGTAATATGAATGAGTGGTGAATCTAGTATAATTACTCTCTGAATAATAAACGGGAGGGGATGAGATAACGAGTAAACGCTTTATAGTGTTTTTTTATTTGTTGATTTTTTTTCTTTAACTTTTTTTTTGATGTATGTAAGTATGTGTGTGTGTATTTTTTTGGTGAATTTTGTGATTGAAATGTGTATGTGTATTGCATTCAAGCGGTTATTGCGTTGAAGAAAATGTTTCAATGGATTTATGTTGAACGCCATACATCCGGATCTCCCATCATTGCATGGCCTGTTGCCGGTTGATTTGCGGCGGACATTCCATTTGTTGCATTTACTGCCATCTCCTCACGTGATGCTCTGTTTTACATTGTGCGACAGATTTGTTGGCCATCCGATTTTCGAAGGAAATACGCGAAGGAAATTATTTGAAGATGATTTTCGGTGAAGTGAGTGTGAAAATTGATTGATTTTTAATTGGTAATTTTATTAGACGAGATTAAATGGTTAGGAGGGAAAAATAGAGAAAAAAAGAGAGAATAAATACACATAGTTAATATAAATTAGTATTCAAGATTAGTGAGTAAAATGTATTAAATTTGGTCAAAAGAGACAACAAATGACATGCATTTTTTTAGCCCTTTCACCATGAAACAATACACATTTTTTTTCTCATATGAATTTTCATCTAATCTAAGCACATTCATGATTTTTTAACGTACTTTTTGCCAAGCGACATCATTCCGTAGAGAATACCGGTTGCAAATATTAGACCACATCCAAAAATGCTCGCCAATCCTGGCTCCAAAATCACAGGTGGAATTGCCGCTCTAAAGAAACACAAATGATTAATTTTTAATGAAAATTATACGTGAGCGCCAAAGTATTGTAAGCGATTAACAGTTATCGATTATTTATTTTGGCACGCAAATGTACATTTCTCGAACGAAGCGAACGATTGTTTTGATTTGATAAATGCGGCTACTTACACACAATAGCCAGCTGCACGGTTCCAGTGTGGTCGGGTCTCAACGACTTGTGCAAATTTCTGTGCATAATCGATGAACATACAACACATTGGCGCTTCGATAGACATCACTAATATGCCAACCAGAATTTGGAGAATGCCGGACAGAACACTGGAGAAATTTATCGTAATAACTCCAAAACAATTCCAGAATCCAAACAAAATTGCAACTACAAATGGAAAAAGAATATAAATTGTTATGTTTTAATGAAAACACACACACGTCACCCATTTAATTTCACATGAAATGTTGATATTCAGGTGAGGTTGGTGTACGATATGACATTTACATGACTTATTTTTTTTTTCATTTGAAAAAAGAAAACACTTACAGAATGCTCCGAAAATGCCAAGACCTCTGGCTCCATAGCGTAAATACCATGGTGTATCATCTTGTGGTGCATCTGTTGGACCAGCGACCAATCCCGTTAATTTCTGAGCGAACGACTGTATTCGATATAAAAATTAAACAGCGCACATCATTAGTTAAGAACTCGTATACAGAACAACAGAACAATGGTTATATCAGAAATTCGTATTTTGACGCATTATAATTAAATTAAAATGCCAATGGTAAATGTATTAGATAAAAAACGTAAACAGCTTAGTAACGAATGCTCGCACTTTGAGATCATGTGAATCTTAATTGGAGCATACATGTTTACTTTTTCATCATCTCTTTTATGTTTGATATTCGTTAAAACGGTATAAAATTTAACGAAGTACTATTTCGGCAATGAAAAAAAAAACAGCAACTAACTACACGTCATTTTTCTCAATTTGGGCACGGAATTCACCCACCGCAAATAAAAAAAAAACAAATCTGATACAAAACAGTCTCAGATAACAGCAATGGTGTACAAAACCAAAATGAAGATTGTCATTTGATATTTGGGTCTTAAAAAGGGAGAATAACGTTAAAATAATAAAAAATGGGTGTTTTAAAAATCTGGACTTGCTGACGTATTTAAATCAACGTATTATGCCCGAACACAATAGCAATCGTATTGCAACTGTGGTAGCAGCAAAATTGATTAAAATATGATTTAACCGAAAAAAAAACAATAAATCATCCACGTCAGCCGCTTATTTTTTTTTTATCATATGGAAATTGTGCGGGCAGATGCTCAGAATGAGAGAATTTTGAATTTATCCCAGATATCAAAGAGAAATCAGAATACATAGTCCATATAGTTGAGATACCAAAACAAATCGATACCCTTAGTTGTAGGCATTTTATAGGTTACACACTATATCTTTCTCTCTCTCTCTCTTTCTCGTATGGATATCGAAGACTCACAAATGTGATGATTTGTGATGTTAATTTTTCATTGTTGTTGCAATTTTTGTCACATTAAACCGATCGATTTTTAAGTATTACGGTTTGGTTTTTATGCAATGAAAAAAAAATGTATGGCGGTAGCCCAATTCATGCCATTGTGTGTGCAGTTCCACAATAAGTGATAACACACAAATTAACGATAATAGCAAGAAAGATAGCTAAAAGTGAGTCGCTCCTCTCAATTGAAGCTATTTCTGAACAAATTTGCAATTTAATTGAACACCTATGTTATCAATCACAATTATTTGAATCAATTGCTATTGTCTATGTCACAATAAATGTTTTTTACGTTAAATTGCAATGATTACCATTTTTCGTTTTTTTTTAAATATTCAATTCTGTGTGTTGATTTTTCTTTTTCGCTCTTTATTTGCGTATGGATTCACTTTCCCGAACCGCTTTGTTTTCTTTCTTTATTTTCAACGTTGGAATGTTCGTTGTAGTTTTTGTTTGTGATGTGATGTTGCTTTTTTTACAATTTCCTTTTAAAAAGAAATTTATTGCACTGAATACGATATGTTTTACGGAACACCGAGATCACTCTTAAATAACAAATTGGATAAAATATTGAATCGAAGGATTCACTTGACACACACACACACACAGTTGAATTGACGAACTTTTCAATTAAATTAAATCGAATTTCATGCTGATTTTGTGGTCATTCTTTTTTTTCCTTCGGTAATTTGATGTATTTTCCCCGAATATGTGTATATTATTCGCGTATGATTTATATTTTTTTTTCTTAATCACTTTCCTTCTATCTCTCTTATTTTACAAAGTCGTTGTCGTCGTCGTCGTTCCTCTAGTTTTTTTTATTTTGCGCGAACACTCATTCTATGCGAGAAGCAGATTTGCGGATTTGATTATACGGCTTGCATACAAGCGTAAAATCAATTGTCGTGTCGAGTTTCTTTGACAAGAGAAAGATTATTGGTTTTTTTCTGTTTCTCACTGAGACATTCAAGCGAATCTCAAATGGGCAACCCAACAGTCACATCATTCACGTACGACAACGGAACTCACTATCTGTCATTGTATGTGTTGTTTTGCATAAGTATTGGTTAGAGCTGTAGATGCGCGTGTATTGTGACATATAGAATGTTAGGAGTAAATTCATCTTAACATCGATTACACTACACACATGCACTACACACATACAAACAAATAACTTTAATCAATAAAATTTGTACGCAGATGTTCACTATAAAGGGTTTACATTAAATGAACGAAAACATATGTTGGATGTTAATTTAATTGCGCCATTTTTTAAATTACATTATAATTTTGCCGTTTAAAGAGTTCCGTTTGGATTTAAAGAACCATTCAATGATTATACATGAATATTTGATTGAATTTTAATTGCTTACATTTTTTGTGAGTAAAAAGACGGAAAAATGTCATTTGAAAAACGAAATGGGGCCTGTATTGTTCCGACATCGGAGTCAAATGAGTGAAAACATTCACCTAAACGAGACATAACTGTCAATGGAATTGTTTGTGCCGCGTATTTATAATTAGATGACACTTATTGTACTCGACAGTGGGTTGTCTGAACAATTATTGTTAACAAAACAAATAATACTGGAGCATTTAAAAAAACAGTAAGCAAGGAGGAAAATTTTACACATCATTTTGATGCGATATATAAAAGATTGTTATGAGAAATTAAAACTTTTAAATTGCAAATTTATTTTTCAACGAATTATTTACAATGTTGTGATTACTCTCGTGGATGGCCAATTTATTCATATAGCTATTTATATAGTGGTATTCGTATCCGTGAAAAAGTCTGAATAATTTCATATCCATCATCTGCGAATATATTTACAAAAACACAAAAGTATTCGACATTTTTTTTTTACTGATATAATAGTTTTATCTGTTTTTATTGAACTAGATGACGGATACGAAATTATTCCATACAAGTAGAAATATTAACGAATTAGATATGGATACACAATTTATCTGTCCAAAATGAAAAAGCAATTCCGTTTTGCGATAGGTTTTATTCGCCTCATTTCTTTTAAATCGTACAGTATTCTTATTCAAATAAATCTTGTTCACAAATAAAATGCAGTTTGTTGTTACAATCAAAATCATTCCATTTTTGTGCAATTTCTTCTGTTTGCCGTTTGTTTCGAATATGAATACAATTCTCATTCCGCAACCAGTTGTCTGGTTGGCCCGGTGCCCAATCAGTAAAGTTGACCACTTTACCATTGCTCATCCATGTATATGTGTTACCCAATTTTGCTCCCGATGTCCAAAAGCGACTCTCTTCGTGATCCATCCTCACATGACCTGTTCCACCAAAAAAAACATTGGAATTACCCCCAAACATCAGAGGCTACATGCTCAAAATTTCGTGACATAGTTTTTTTCTTTATCAATGCCTCTAACCAAGATGTGTACTTTACTGTATACAACATTTTTTCCCGTAAATTACACATATTTTGGTCAGGGGCATTGATAAAGAAAAAAAACTATGTCACGAAATTTTGAGTACGTAGCCACACGTGTGGTACCATGAATTATTATTTGGGTTGAACGTGTATTTGGTATTACTTTCGTCATTAATTTGTTGTATAATTCGATCATTTTCAGCTTTTGATGATATACTTGCCAAATTCATCCCAAAGCTTCGAACCAATCCACCTGCAAATTTCAAATAGAAATCAAACAAGTTTCGTTATCAATTCTATAAAAGACACTTCATACCACATTTACCTTTTTCAACGTTATGAGACGATATTTCTTGTTGATTTTATGTTCTATTTCCCCGAAAGTCGAAACTGTAATACAATAAAGATTTGAAGAAAAATCGAATGAAATATAATATTGGTTTATTGATTATTTGTTACGTACTCAATAAGGCGATCAGAAAAACGTTTAAAATTATAATTTTCTTCATTCTCAATTTTATAATTTTTGAATTGTCCTGAAGATTTGGTGAAATGCACAGCCCGTGTTCAAGTAATAGATAAGGGGTATCAGCCATATAGTTTAAGCTTATTTTTTTGGATTCCTGAGCGCAATCTGCAAAAACAATATTTTTATTTTTGGAAAATTCGTAGAATTTCTTGGCAATGACGTTTTTCCTGAGAATTTGTATGGAAATTTGAAGATAACTTTGAGTGCACTGTCCAAAAGATTGGAAGCTTATTCAGTTTACATGACGTTCCTCAATTCTGAGAAAATCACACTGTCAGTCGTTTTAGTATAAAAATGCCAAATTTTATACTCATACAGTATAACAATAGATTTATACTTGTATTATTATACTCATAGTGGACGATTGCACGGACACAGTATAAACATTACACTGCGATTTATCCTGTGTCCGTGTAATCGTCCTCTATGAGTATACTAATACAAGTATAAAGTCGCTCAGTTGAACTGAGATGATCTTTCCAAAAAACATAGCAAGAATATTCGATTGACCTTGTGAAGAGCAGCTTTAGTACAACAAACCACCGATTTTCTATGTATTTTCATGAATTTTTAGACAAATTTTGATATGGCTCAAGTTCAAATCATACGATTTTGATTAAAATTGGTAAGTTTGTCAGCGGACCACTGGGGGTTGTAAATACTTTTTAAATTCCACTTGTCTATGCATCGATACATCAAGCATTACTTCCAAGTACATTGGCAGGGAATTTTGCTTATCAATTGCGACAGTATTTGAGATAATCAATGACTTAAGAAAAAAAAATTTTTGGACGCGTATTATTATTAATAAAATAACATTATCAATCAGTTGCGACCGGGTTTGGCAAAAAGGTCAAACTCAATAACAACATTATCTCAAGGTGATATTCAAAAAAACACTGGATAAATGTGTACACGGGCGCTGAGCATGTTATAGCCAATGCAGCGTATGATGCATATGCAGAAAATACTTTTCCGATTTCAGACGATGCCCAAGTCATTGGCACTGATACAACCTTGAGCGGCACCATCATCGAAACTATAATAAAACCAATTTCATTCACTGAATTCACTTACTTGTATATGATTGGCTCGAATGATTGGCTAAGCCGATACATAGGATCCAATAAGTTTTCCGATTACTTGACAAACCATATTAAAAGATGAATAGAATGCATAATCCGTGATCATCCATTTGAATCGGTCTCGCATAAATAGAAATTTTATTGATTCAGAACCCTCTAAAAAAAACTCATGCTGATCACATCGATAACATTTGAACTTTTATTAATCTTACCCTGAACAAAATTACGCAAAATTAATGTAAATATTACGAGCCAAATATGAATTCGACCATTATGTTCGCGTCGCTTAAGACAAGTATCGACTAAATCCATCACATGTTTCCATTTAAAAAGTGCTCTGTGTTTCGCCTTGATTTCAAGAAGAAAATAGTTTTGCTTTAAAATTGGAGTTGTGTAAAATATAGGTGTTTGCTTACCATAAAGCCCAGTTCCTCGGTTTCATTTTTAATGCTTTCATTTATGAAGAAATAAACACAAATTAAACCAAGCAATGTACAACAAGCAGAGATTCCGAACGCAATAGAGGCTGATGCATATTGATATAATGGTTTACAGGCTGGAGTACCTATAATCAATCCAAAAAGGGCGGCCACTTCTAATCTTGCCAGTCTATTAAGCATGAAGTGATTAATCGTGCAAAGCAAAAAGTAGTTCAGTTTAAAAAGAAATGGATTCAAACCTAAGACCACGATCTTCAACTGATGAAATATCACTGCTGCACTCTTATATCGGTGGTATTAATATTTAGTATTTTGGGATTTTCAGCTACGATTAATCCAAAAGGACTAAAAAGTAATCCAATGGGATCATTTTATATTTTTTAACTTGAGTTCAATAAACACTTTTTTGTTGTTTGTAAAAAAATATCTCAAAATGAATCTTCCTTTGGAACACTGTTTCATATTGTATTGACATTTACATGAAACTTCAAATGCTTGTCATTGTCATTCGATTGCAAACATTACCTTTCACGGTCTTATATTTATTGTGTAAATCACGTGCACCGTTGTCGAAAAAACTAAATTTTGTTTCTGTTGGAATTTCGATTAGTTTGTTTATTTGAATATAATTCTCAATAGAATCCTTTTTTCCATCGCTTCTGTGCAATTTATTAGATTTCTGATAAAATGTTTTATAGCTAGTGAAAACAAAGTAAAGAATTGATTAGCGAATGGTTTTCAATAGAATTTTGGGTCGGTTTGCATCAATATCAACATTCCATGTCACAACCGCTTTTGTGTGGGCTACATGTCAAAGAGTCTAACGTCATATAGTCTAACGTTATATTACATTATATAAAGCGACAATAAGTCTATGAAAAAGGTACTATTTGGTCTAAATAAAAAGGATCATTTGGTCTAGGACTGTATTGCGTTTTATAAAAGACAAAAGGTCTAAATAAAATACGACATATAGTCTTAGACTGAGTGACACATTACTAATCACAATTCAGTCCAAATTAAAAACGACACTCGGTCTAGTTCTATGAAGGATCAATACACAAGGAAACATAACACCTAAATTGCATGATATTAGATGGAAAATAGAAGTGAAATTTAGTTTCTATGAAGGTTCAATGCAGAGGTCAACTTAAGACATAAATTGCGTGAAATTGTTTAACATAACATTAGTCTTGTTTTGGATTTGGTCGGGATTGTTTTGCTTTGAGTTAAAAATGTCACGAAAACAACATTTCACCGATAATATTGTGAAATCATTTAAATGTGAAATATCAAATAGTGAAAAATTGATGACACCATGGATTTCTTATTCAAGCGAAACTCCAACTGTGTGCCAGACCTGAATTTGATGTGGGAACTGGAAAATACATTAAAGCCAATCCGATTCGACGATGGGAAAGGGTACTTTTTTGCTATGGAAAGCAATTGGTTCAAATACATACCAATATTCCTGAATTTGCAACAGTGAGTTTTCGTTCATTTATTATTGTGAATCAAACGATTGTATTTTTTATGCGATTTTTTTCCATTTTGAAAATTCTACAAATATCACACGAGTAATTTTATCAATTTATTTTTTGGAAAATATACAAAAATAGGTACATTCGCAATCATGAACGTGAACGAAAAGCCGCATTGAAGCGAGGTGAACGAACCGAGCTTCGTGAATACAGAAATTTCACCGTGGTACCAACGTCATCGTTCGAAAGACATTACATTCGAATTGATCGTAGAGTGTTTTATCGCATGTTGAGACAGATAGAATGTCCACATCGATTATTTCGCAATAAAAACGGCGGCCCAAAACAGGAGGAAGACATCAAAAGTAAAGAATGGGATGTATTATGGCGTCTGTATTTCGACATCGATAGCATCGAAAGAGAACCGAGAAACAAAAATGATGGCCATGCAACAATAAAATTCGACAACTCCATTCAAACAGATGGTGTCGGTATGTCATTTTTGATGGAACGAACAAAATTCATCATTGAAAAAGACGATGAAGAGCGTATGAAAGAGACACAAGAGATGCTTCTGAAAAGCCAACAAGTGTATGGTCTCGATCCTGGACTACGTTTGGTCATTGGTGGTGTGCGCATTAACAATTTCAACGATCGAAATAATCGCACTGAAACAATCATTCGATTGACATCGGGCCAATACCAAGATATGATAAATTCATCGCGACGGAACAAATGGCGCAAAAAGTTGACAATTGAAATCGATGAAAAGATGCGTCCACATCGTGAGTCATTTGATGAGCAGCCTGGTCCACGAGCCGAAGACCATAAATCATATGCTGATCATATTTTGCGTCATTTTGAAGAAAAGTTCATAGCATACACACAGTATGAATACGCTTTGCAAGCATTTCTCCAGTACATTGACACGAATAGAGCACTTGATGCATATGCTAGGGGACGGAAACCATTAGCTAGTTTTTTTTTGTTTCAAGTAAAAACTAGGAAAATTAGAAAAAAACTAGCAAAAACTAGAAAAATTAGCAAATAAATCAATTTTACAAGTCGACTATTGAAAGATACAAGTATTTTTGCACGATTTTGTGTTAAAAAAGAATAATTAAACTAATTTTTACTATTATAAGTGTATAATTATTCAAAACACATAAAAATATGTCTGAACAACTAAACGTCAAAATACTTCTTTGTGTCAGTACAATCATTTGATTGTCATTTGACAGAACAAAAAACTAGAAAACTAGCAATTTCATAAAGGAATATTAGCATTATTAGATTATTCAAGCAATAAACTAGTAAATTAGCTATAAACTAGAAAAACTAGCATTGGTTTCTCTCCCCTAGTGCATATGCAACCAAGCTCATCGATGGTAAGCAAACGTTCATATTTGTCGGTGATCGTTTCATTGCGGCAGATTCACCAGCCCGAGGATATATTCGATCGAAGGTGTGTTAACTGTTACTACCATTTTTATTTTTTGGTTCTTTATATTCATTCTTTATTCGAATGATTTATTCAAATTTACGACCCGCATTTACTGGAAATTAATCACATTTAGTTCGTTTTGTAGTCAGATTATGAATTTCAATTTTTTTTACTATTATTCTAATCTAATAGGCCCTATTTGCTAGACGCACGATCGCGAACGATTGTAATCAGACATTATATTGAGATATTTTCAGCCAAATGAATCAGCTCAGCCAGATATCGACAGGCGCTGAAATGGAGTGAAAACAATAAAAGTAGTTTATTACAGAATAAGACGCGTGCGTTAAGTGACGAATATTTTCATGATTATGCATTTGTCGGAGACCGAGGGGCCAATGGACAATCAACAGCTGAATTTTCAGGCGAAAAATCGAATATTTTGATTTACACTCAAATTCAAAAGGACGCCATTTATTGTTGGAATACAGATAAACCATATAAGTGGAATACGCAAGGAATTGTTGATATGGATTCCAACTCTGTTGTCTGGTTGATCGAAATGGAAATCTATGGGTTTTATCAAACCGTCTTAACCTTTTCTATGAAAAACGGGACCAAACTTTATTTGACTTTAAAAAAAAAACACAATTTCATTTTCGTTGAAAAAGAAAAAAAAGAACCGAAAAGAGAGAATTAAGGTGTGAAACATCCATATCTAGGGGCTGGATTTTGATCGAAATAAGCTCTATCAAGATATAATGAATATCACGTATCATATATTCAATATGACGTTTTCGGTTTTCTGGAATACAATTTAATAAAATACAAATATTGAAAACTTGGTGTAAATTGATTATTTGTAATTTTCATTACATTTTTACATAGAAAATATTTATTTATCGTGAAGCAACATTTTTCATACATACAGATCCAATCTGTACCCAATAACAGCTACAATTCAGGGTTATTGATATTTTTTATCAATGCAGATAATGAATCCAAATTTTGATCTCAATACTCTTTTGTTTTTTTACATTTTCTGTATCAGTATTTCATTGCGTCATCATCACACTCTTTAATTCTCGTAAAGTTGAATATACAATATACATTGTCCAACTGCAACGAAATCACCAATATTTTTGCGAGACAAATCGAGTCTATGTTATTAATTGTGCTTAAAAAAAAAAAAAAAAAAAAAAAATGTTGTCAACCATAAACTGGCCCCAATAAATTAAATCTGAAGGAATTTAACTATCGGATTTTAAGAGGAAAGGTTAATGAATTGACTGTCTCTCAACGTAGTTTTGGTGTTACCAAAAATCAACAATATCATCAACAGACACCGCAATAAGTCTACACATAAACATAACGAATAAATGACATTTTTCACTTCAAGACAATGCTAAACAAATTTTCTTGGTTACCTTTTGTCCTCGGACATTATGGTACCACTAGAAATAAGAATAAATTCAGAAAGTGCTTTATTACGATTGACATCTGTCTGATCCACAATATTCAATGTTTAAATATACCGCTTTTTGAAATGTCAATGCAATAGAAGTGACAGTTCGTTAATGATTTTTGGTTTTGTGACAGTTCGTCGCTATAAATATTCATAACCTAAATTCAACTGAATTAACATAGTGCATAAATTGAAATTTTCAAAATTATTATTGGAAAAATGACATTGTTTACAAGATTGTGTTGCTATTCACGGCTTTGCCTCATTGACTGTAATAAATTTCGTATATTTCGAACATATTGTTCAAAATTTAACGAACAGAAGCAGAACAAGTATATTAAGTATGCAAGAAAAGTGTTACAACAAACAAAAGGTTGTGTGTTATTTAATGCATCGAAGTTTTCACAGTATATTATTTCACCGAAGGAATTCCGAGCCGAAAATCAAATCATATACGAATTAGTATTAGCTGCGCGGAAGAATTGTTCAAAGAATACACATAAATTGTTGGATAACCGTTGTGCAGACAATTACAAAACATGGCCCATCAATGAGCAGTTGTTTGCTTTAGATGTATGGTACTTTGTTAAACATCGCAGTAATTTCCAATTTTTTGAAGCAACGGTTAGAGATTTTCTCTCCGAATTTCATAGTCTGGAGAATGGACCGGCATTACAAATCCTGTATTATGTCGGACAAATGAAATTGCAATTGAGTGCCGTTGAAGCTGATAGTATCGTAAATCATTTAAAAAATAATATTGATCAAATAACGTTTGACGAAGTTTCAATGCAATGTTCAACCCTAATTAAATGCGATTGTAAAGTGGATGATACAAATTTAATAAAATCTCTTTACACACTATTGCTGACGAGTGACTTACAAAGGTATGATAGCATTGCGGTGAGTGGAATCATAAAATTCGTGCGACGATTTTCGTCTCTTGATCATATAAGTGAATTGGAAGCTCTTCAAAACAAACTCACATCATACGTTGATGCGGCTGGCCATCAAACTGGCACACATATCATTCAAATGGGTGTCAAACAGGGAGCTTTTGACACAGATATAATCGAAACAGTAATTCAACGATTTTCAAAGAACATGAATGAATTACGAAATAAAGATGTTGAACGTGTGCTACTATCGATTTCAACCCGAAATTATCGAAGCGAAAATGGTATTGAACTGGAATTTTGTAATCTTGTACAAAAATATTTATTAAATTCACTTGATACTAACTTCCCTGATTCGGTGATAAATTGTATTACGTATTTGGCCATTTTTGGCGTTGCCGATGCCAAACTGATCGATTGGGCACTGAGGCGGCCCATTGATAACATTGAAAAGAGTCTTCTTGTAATTGATTCTTATGCCAAAATTAATTTGGCAACAACATACAATGGCCATAAATTATCGGAGAATGTGTGTGCTGATTTGATGAAAAAAGCATCTGAATCAACAACGGCCGGAAAGAAATCGAATTTAGTTTATGAAGTAAGTGATGTATTGAAAGCACATGATATTTATCATATATTGACACGAGCAATTCCATATGTGCCATTCAATGACCTGTTTTTTATTTACAATAAACGAACACGGGACACGGTAAACATTCTTCAGCCGAATGCAGATGGGCACATTTTGAATGTGACAAATATTATTAAGAATAATCCAGACTTGGAGGGAATTGCAATAGTACCATGTAAGAACATTGATTCCGTTTATAATGCCTATCGATATAAAGGGCTTATGCAGTTTAAATTGAATCAATTGGAAATGAATGGCTTTAAAACAATTGCGATCAGGAGTTCAACGTGGAAAAAATATAACACTGAAGCGGCAAAACGTAGATACTTGGCTATGGAACTATGTAAAAATGATGTGTTTCTATTTAAGTTGTAGATTTTGTAATCAAATTTAAAAAAAAAATAAACAATAACCAAATTCGGTTATTCTAAGACGAAAAATTATAAATTCTGAAAAATAAACTTTTTGATTGGAAAATCGCAATAATTTTTTTAAATTTCAGATTCAACGTTAATTTTTGTAATGAAATATATTTATTTTGTACACTGAATATGTGGGTATAAATTATATTTTTTTTATATTGTGGTATTTCTTCGTTCAAAAAAAATCGATTTGTATGAGAAATGTCAAACTGGTTCGCATCGCTGAATAAAAGTGACAGTTCGTTAATGATTTGTAGTGTGGTGACAGTTCGTCGCTTCAAATAGAGCATAACCTAAACTCAACTGAATTAACATAGTTCATAATTTGAAATTTTAAGCATTATTCTTGAAAAATGACATTGTTTACAAGATTGTGTTACCATTCACGTCTTTGCCTCATTGACTGTGATAAATTTCATATATTTCGATCATATAGTTTTAAATTTAACGAACAGAAAAAGAACAAGTATGTTAAATATGCAAGAAAAGTGTTACAACAAACAAAAGGTTGTACACTATTCGATCCGTACAAGTTTAAAGAGTATATCATTTCGCCAAAGGAATTTCGAGATGAAAATAAAATAATATCGGATTTAGTAACAGCTGAGCGAAAAATCAACCTTGGACATCGGAATGATCCAAAGATTATAGATGAATTGTTGACCCCGCTGAATAAACGTTGTGCGGACAATTTCAAAACATGGCCCATCAATGAGCAATTGTTTGCTTTAGATACATGGTACTTTGCTGAACATCGCAAAATATTTTCATTTTTTGAAGCAACTGTTAGAGATTTTCTTTCCGAATTTCATAGTATGGAGAATGGACCGGCATTACAAATCCTGTTTTATATCGGACATATGAAATTGCAATTGAGTGCCGTTGAAACTGATATTATCGTCAAGTATTTAAAAAACAATATTTATCAATTAACTTTTGACGAAGTTTCAATGCAATGTTCAACCCTATTCAGATGCGATTGTAAAGTGGATGATACAAATTTAATGAAATCTCTTTACTCACTATTGATGAAGAGTGACTTAAAGAAATATGATTGCATTGCGGTGAGTGGAATCATAAAATTCTTGCGACGATTTTCGTGTTATGATCATATCAGTGAATTGGAAGCTCTGCAAAACAAACTCATACGATACATTGATGAAGCTGGTTATCAAACTGGCGCACATGTCATTCAATTGGGCGTCCGACAGCAGATTTTTAACCCAATTATCATCGAAAGAGTGATTCGACGATTTTCAAATAACATGAATGAATTACGAATTAAAGATGTTGAACGTGTGCTACTATCGATATCAACCTGCAATTATCGAAGAAAAAATGGTATTGAACTGGAATTTTGTAATCTTGTACAAAAATATTTATTAAATTCACTTGATACTAACTTCCCTGATTCGGTTATAAATTGTATTACGTATTTGGCCATTTTTGGCGTTGCCGATGCCAAACTGATTGATTGGGCACTGAGGCGGCCCATTGATAACATTGAAAAGAGTCTTCTTGTAATTGATTCTTATGCCAAAATTAATTTGGCAACAACATACAATGGCCATAAATTATCAGAGAATGTGTGTGCTGATTTGATGAAAAAAGAATGTGAATCAATGTTGATCGGAGAGAAATCGAATTTAGTTGATGACGTAAGTGATGTACTGAAAGCGAATGGTTTTTATCATATAATGACACGAGCAATTCCATATGTGCCATTCAATGACCTGTTTTTTATTTACAATAAGAGAACACGGGAAACGGTAGACATTCTTCAGCCAAATGCAGATGGGCACATTTTGAATGTGACAAATATTATAAAAAATGATCCAGACTTGGAGGGAATTGCCATTCTTCCATGTATACCATCGGATTTCGTGCACAAAACCAATCAATATACAGGTCTTATGCAGTTTAAATTGAATCAATTGGAAATGAATGGATTTAAAACAATTGTGATCAAGAGTTTGACATGGAAAGAATGTAAAACTGAAGCGGCACAACGTAGACACTTGATTTGGGAACTCTACAAACATGGTGTTCATTTTGTATTAAAAAATGTTAATAAATAGTAACCAAATGTAAATTCGTCTATTATGAGTGTATTTTGTAAATATAAAAGCGTATCTTTCATTTTAGAAATGATGATAATAATTTTGCAGAGCAAAATTTTTTTATCAAAAATATATTCAACCAAATTTAGTCTTGAAGTTTTTATACCCCTGATTTTTCAATAATTTTCAAATATTGCATTCAATAAGATGTTTCTGAGATTTTGGTATGGTCACCTTTTTGCTAAAATCAGAACGGATGGTTGGCGAAAAATTAGCAATCGCATTGGTCGATGTTAAAACAAAAGCTTTACTAAAAGTGATCCACAGCAGCGTGTCTCATTCAATTCAAAAAAAAATCAATAAATAAAAAAAATCGGTGATAATTTCCAAATAAAATTTTATTCGTCAAATAATTGTTTTATTATACTCTGGATACTCGCTTTTAATGCAATTAATGAAATTCAACGTAACGGAACTAATTTCGCCTGACCAGGTCAATTGACTGTATTTTCTCAAGAATTCGCAACATTTTTCTTTTAAAATTGCAAGCTGTTCACGGGAAGCAGTTGATATTTTGTATTGATTAGCATAAATGTAACAAAAATTCGAGTCAAATTGAATTTGTTTGGTCAAACGATTGATTGGCCGGAAGCTTGGTGCACATCTGTTGCATTTGCAGATGAAACGAAATGTTTTTTTCAGACAATCTTGACGCATTTCGGTTGATTGAAACAATATCTGCGGTTTATACATGACAAAGAGTTGCTCTCCCTTTTTCACCGGTCTTATTGTGGTACAAACCTGTTTATTTCCAACGAATAAATGAAGAATATTCGGTGCGCACGAGTGATTAAACAGTGACATAACATTGCATAATGCTTGAATGTTGCCGGCATTGATTGGGAATGAATGGCCAAAACCATTGCCCAAAATGAGTCTGTGCTGCAAAATTAAATGCATTAAGAAGCGTTTTTTTCGTTTTGTATCAAAACTCGCCTTGATTATCGGAATCATCGAAATACATTTAAATGCCAAGTATATGTTGAGTATCTCGTCGCAATCTGCTTCCTTTGGATTTGCGGTTAATTTCAGGAACATACCATACTTGGCAAGATACTTGGTTTGTAGATCATCTGGAAAACTTTTGGGCAAATCGAATTTCGGTGTAGCCAATTGATTTTCAACGAATTCCATTAAATGATCAACTGTATTGAATGTATTTAAAGCCACTAAAATCGATTGAATATAGATTTGAATTGATGGTACACGATAGAATACATACCCACAAGCAATTTTGTGTGTATCATTATTTCGCATGCAATTTTCATCACAAAACATTGCATCGATGCAAGTTGGGCATGGAATAAAGTTTTTCACGGCCTTCATACAGGTCAAACATAAAGTACGATTATTTGTGTCGAAAACTACAACATATGGTTCTTCAATTAAGACTGTTTGACCTACATCAATGTCACGATTTGCCACAATGTGCCGACCATACTCTTTGTTGGTCTGAATTTCTAACGTAATCGCTAAACATGGAAAATTTTCATTCGAATCAAAGCTTAACATCGGCTCTATTTCTACTTCACTTTCGATGGCTTCTTTCATTTGTTCAAGGCACAACATTTCACGTTCGTCCAGTTTTTTCATCGACCGTTTTGGGTAATTGTTTTCTCTTGCTATTTCGATATCTTTGAGACATTCATTGTATTTTTTCATATGCAAAAAACATGAGGATCGATTTGCATATGCCAAACTTAAATTTTCTGTGCCCTTCACAGCAAAACGAAGACTCTGGTTGTAAAACTCCATTGCACTACGCCAATACTTTACTTTGAAGTGATTATTGCCAGAGATACGAAAGCCAGTTGACACCAAATCGCTTTTCGTTGCTTCAAATTTCATACCAAGATAATTATGCTTGGCTGTTGCAACAGTTTCAATACACATGTCATCTAAGAACACAGCGGGATGGGGAGCAAGTAAATCCACAAAAATGTTTCCATAAATTGTTTTCATTAAAGTTATCAATTTTGAGAGAAATAAAGAATTATTAGCGAGAAAAATGTCAGCTAACGACCAGGGACTCACATCCAACGCTGAGTTTGATTCAGTAAATATAATATTAACCATGAAGAATGTGGTTGACATCATGAATATCTGTAACGAAGAAGCCGAGAATATGAAACGATGTGAACAGTTTTTGCAGAAAATACTCACTATCGAAAACGTGTGCTTTGTATATGGTGTGGCAATTCAATATAATCGAATTGATTTGATGAATGATTGTGAGGAAAAGATTCGTTCATATATGAAATTGCAATTCCCAAACAGCATTATGAATTTTGGTCGTAAACGATTGAAGGAATGTTTAAAATTCAAAGCAATTTCGTATATAGAAATGTTGGTTTTTGAAACTTGTCCGATTTGGTTAACTGTTCCAGAAAATGAATTGACCAGAGATATTATCAAAACGTATCTTGGAAATGTTACACTGCTTTCAATTCCACAGAATGATGAGAATGTGATTCAATGCAACCGTTTCATAAAGAACATTGATTATCATTTCTATCTTACGGATTCTGAAAACAATACAACATTTAGAATTCGAACGAATAAAGCCTTAGTGTTATGGTATTTTATTTGTGTACCCATGTATTGTGATGTAAAGTCAGTAAGTGAAGCCGACAGATTGGAAAACTGTACTGTGAATGTTACAATCACTGCAAAAAATGGAGGTAAAAAATTGGATACCCTTTACAGCGATACAGCAAACATTGGCAGCAAAATAAATTCAGGTCATATAGGGGCTAAGATCAAATTAACCAAACCTACTATCGTCAGACCTGGAATTGATTATGAGATAGGATTAGATTTAAATAGAGTAGTAGTTTGCCACGAATTAAGAACGGATTGCGCTTTAGGTTCGGAATACCAATTGAAATTTGATGCTGGTCGATCGTGGTATAACCAAAATGTGGGAACGATTCAAGAGCTTGGTTTTAAATTGATAGATTAAAATGAAGAATGGATATTTTGTTTCATCGCAATGAAGATCATGATCGAGTAAACTTGTTTCTATCGTAGAATCGTAAACATTGCATAAATTGTACTTATACATCAAGTATTTTTATTGTACCATTTCATTTTTTCTTTTTTAAAACTATTAATAAACTGTATGAATGGAATCGTTTAAATAAAATGTGGGCTTCAAATTTTCAAATCACTTCTTGTTTTTTCCTAATTATTTTGAATTATAGGCTTTCGGCTCTATTGTTATTTTAGAATTATTTTTCCTTCTCAATGATTCAGTCAAACCAAAATGATGCATCGTTATTATCTTTATTGCTTCCACTTCCGTTATTACCAGTATTAGCTGGAGCGCTCAGCGATATATCCAGAATATCTCCAAACACTGGTTATTATACGGTATACTTATCAATTGAAATCACAACGTGAATCCATTAAATTCATCATTAGTGTTACGTTTTCCAATAAACGTATATCTAGACGTATGCCATTTTGAGTTTATAATTTATTTGCCGCATTCATTTATCTCAAGCCAAACATTTAAAGGGTTTAAAACTTTTATCCAACTATCATACCTAAAAGTAAAAGTTTTTCAATAAACACAGCATAAGAAAGTTTACAACTCTTTAATTCATTCAATTGAACAATTACATGCAAGCATTTATTTTTTTTTATTCGAAGAAAAAAATACAAAAAAAGTCACATTCCAATCAACTCATTCGAACGATAATGTAGTATTCAGAACGTAAAAAAGTCGTTATTGCAGATTTCGTTTTTCTCATAATGATGCGTTGGTAATGTTCGAAATTCGAAATGTCATTAGTTGGCCTTATGTGTGTATTTTAGTCGAGAACGACGATGTGGTGGTGGTAGAAGTGACAGAAACTGAATTTGTTAAATAAAAAAAAACTCATCATTGTGTGGCATTTTATTTAATACTGGCGATTAACATAGAGACGCTCCCGATTCAAATTCGCAAACAAAAAACAATATATTACTATTAGAATTTAATATTCGTTTCTGATTTGAACGAGAAAGTGAGAAAATTAAGATTCCAGCGATAGCATTTTTCAAGTGTCACTTCAAAGAAACAACATACGCGCAAACACATCAATCGGTATAACACGATCCGATTGATACGAAATTTGTTTTTCGAAAGGTTTTTAGACGTTTTTATAATTAGTGCCAAAAAGTATTTGAAGATGCCAGCCGCTACGGAGCAACCGGCGGCTAAAAAAGAGCGAGAAGAACTGCTGTGGCAGTCTCTCAAAGAGCATGTGATGAGAGAACGACAAAAAATTAAAGAAGGTAATTAAAACAAGAGAAAAAACACACACATACACACTCACACACGGACACCAATTAATTGGTATGCATTTTGTGTTGAAAATTTATTGATAGAACAAGAAGCTGAAGTGGAAGAGGAGCGATTACGAAAAGAGCGAGAAGAACGCGATCGACAAGATGCAATGACACTGGGTGAAACAAAAGAACAAATTCAAATTTTAAACACACGACTCAAAGAGCTGCGAAATGAGAAACAACAATTATTTCTGCGACTGAAAAAAGTACTGAACGAAGATGAAAATCGAAAGAAACAACAACAGCAGAAGGACAGGTATTGTGGTCTCCAATTAATTTTGATTTAAATTTTTTTAAATATTTTGTTTTTGTTCAATTTCAGTGAGATGTTTGCATTACAGAGTATTGTACAGCAACAAGGATCTCATCAACAAATATTTTTACCACCGCGTGCGCCACAACTTATGCAAAAAGTACGCAAATATTTTCATAATTTATGTAAACATTTTCTAATTCGATCATTTTTTTTTTCTCTGTGGAACAGTATTTGCAAAGTGGTCCACCACCAATGGGTGGCATTTCAACACCACCGAATAAACGAGGTCGAAGCCCATCGCCAACGCCACAATACTATAAAACAAACAATCCACCCTACCCGCAACCTCAAAGTAAGTTTCATTTTCAGTTCAAGATACATTCGGATGATATTCTAAATCGAACGCAAAAACAACAACAAAAAAACAATTTTGGTTTCGAATCACTCATGGGAATTCGTTTTAATTTCATATGAACTGCGTATTTTTTTAATTGTTTGCGGCTTTTTTGTGAGTCAGAATTCTTTTTCCAATTGAATTGATTTCTTGAAGAGCTGTTATTGGCACCGGAGAATCGAGGACACTTGTTCCATATCATTTGTCAAGTACCGTGTCTGAAAACAAAAATGAGCTCTTGTTCGCTACAAGAGAAGTATCCCCGACGGCACATACAAAAAAAGTGTCCCCACCTCAGCAATGCCTATAACAGCTCAAACAAATTGTTTTTTTTTTTGACAATATCGAATCCAAAAAAACAAAAAAAAAACAATATTTTATTCATGGAATTAAAAAAAAATCGAATGTAATCAAATCAAAATAAATATTGTAACTGATGTTGAATGAAACAATGGAAAAAAAACAACAACACAACAACAAAAAACCCTTATTTTCACAGAACATGAGGATGGCAGACGAGGTGGTGAAATTGCTCGTACTGTCTTATGGAATAGTGAGTTATTTTGCAAGACTTTGTTAAATGAATTTTTATTTTATTTTATTTACATATGTGATCAACATGAACAAAAGCACATACACCCCCCCCCCCCCACACACACACACACACACTCAACCACACATTTTTTATTACCACAATTGCTTATTATTTATCCTATCCTCAAATGAATTATTCTTTTCGTTCAATCGTTGAATTAATTAGGTTTTTCATTGTAATGAGTTTGTTTAGATGCTTCATTTGTTTGAATTGAATTTAATGATTTTGCCAATTTTTACAGAGCCAACGTACCAAAATCCACCGGGAACACTATATTATCCGTCCAATTCACAAGACACACGACAATCGATTGTGTATCCAACATATACACCGAATTTGAATATTCCAATGATTTCATCGTATCATCAAGAATTATCGCAACAACAAGCCCAATCACAAGCTTTATCATCGGAACAGGTAGACCATTCCTTTGTCTCTTGTACATTTCTCGCATGAGATCGCACAGTACTAAACATAGGTTTCAAATTAGGCACAACAGCAACAACCTCAGGCACAATCTCAGTCGCAACATCAACAGCAATCGAGTCAACAGCCGACATCGCAGTCGTCAAATCAATCGCATGATAAAGGAAAACCATTGCAAAGGTATATACCACTTTTTTTGTCTCACCAATGTTGGTGTGTAATCAAACTTTCATTTGTTTTTAGTGTTGCTCAACATTCACAATCACAAAAGATGCAACAACAACAACAACAGCAGCAGCCTAGCCACGGTGGTCCGCCGCCGCCTCATAAGCCACATGCTCAACAAATTTCGTTGGAAAAACTCAACGAACGTAATTATCATCTGGAGAAACAGCAACAACCATCTGTACAACAATCGTCTCATATAGCCGAAAATATGTACCGTATGCCAATGTCGTTGTCATCTGGTATGCTCACCATTTCACCGCAAAGTCAACAGGTGACAAAAAAATTTCATGCATATATCCAAATTGGCAACGAACCAATTCATTCATTATAAACTTCATTCAATATCACATAGCCGAAAATATTGAAGTGAATGACATTTTTAAACAAGCATTCACAGATGTGTAGATTAAAAAAAAAGCAGTACAACAATTGACGCTTGCATCATTTGATGTGCATCGCTAGTGCTGTCGTTGTGCGTTCGGAACATTTCTTGCGCTGCCGAAGATCCGAACGTACACCGATACCACAAGCGATGCGCTTGATCATTTGATGTTTTGTATTGATGTATCTCATTGTGAATGCTTGTTTTTAAATCTACACATTGAAATTGTACAATTAAATATTGATCAATTCATTCGCTATTCAATTGAGCTATTGAGAGACGAAAAAAATTAACACCATATTTCCAATTTTATTTTAGCAAATTCAAAATATGAAACCAAGTGGAAGCATTACACAAGGATACATGACTACAAACAATACAATGTATGTAAAAAAAGGAATGAATCCAATCTCACACAACTTTACCAAATACTAATTATAACTTATTTGTTTTCATCTTGAAGAAATCGTGCTCCGCCATCTGGTTCACATCAACAACAACAGCCACAATCACAGCGGACACAGATGCCGATGCATTATCCGCGTCATACCTACAACTAGATGAATTCCGTCATGGACATTTAAAAAGCATTAGTTTATTCAAATTAAATGCTATTTCAAATGTCAGTAAGCTATTTACTTTCATTCTTCACTAATAAAATCAAACGGAATTTCACGCGGAATGGTGTAATTTTCATAAGATGCTAAAGCATATAGATAACGGATACGATTAGCAGAAAAAAAATAAGAGCAGAACAAAAAATTATTTAGACACTATGTATATCCACATATAAACACACACAATAGAAAACAAGTAGATAATCAAATTCGAATAAAATTTTATTTAAAAAAATATCAAAATTCAAATGTATCTTGTATAAATTCATTTTCCATATCCAAGACTAGTCATCTGGACTTTCATCTAGCCTGTGTACATGCAAAAAAAGAGGTTAAAATGGGCGTTTAGAAGGAAAACTAGTGATTCAATTTACACAGAGTTGGGATTATATACGATTTCATTCACGAATGTATTTTCCGTTGGCATTATGTATTTCTGCACAAACTTTGAACGAGAAAAAAGGTGAACATAGTTAAAATGGGTTTGAACAATAAAGAATCTGTGGCTTACTGTTAAACTATTCAGCCATTGATTTCCCATATGCGCAGCCATATGAATGAGCAAATAAATATTGAACAAAATGTACAAAGTGCTGTAAATAACTAAAGAGAGCGAAAACGAAATTAGGAAATGCAGTTTGAGCTTCAGCTTGTAGAGCACTTACTAGCTATTGTAAACCATCCCCAATTGAGTTCGGCGTCAATAATTTGATCGACTACCAATGTAACGTTTATTGTCGTGACCAGAATGAACACAATAAAGGAAACCATAATGTTCCAAATGCCATTCACAAAATCGCCCATGATTACAGCGCTCGAAGTGAATGCAATTGTTGGAATGAGAGCAAATGGTAATTGCAGTGACATGACAACATTAAGAATATCATTCATTCCGTTCAAATCTTGGATTTTACTGAAATAAGCAACACAGAATGTTGGTACGATTGCAATAAATCGTGTGAAGAAAACTCGCTTCCAGCGTTGCCATTGTAAATTCAAGAAACCTTCCATCGCAAATTGGCCGGCATAAGTGCCCGCCATCGTGGAGCTTTGACCCGCCGCCAAAATGCCGACCGCCCAAATATACATGGCCATCACACCAAATGCACAACCCAAAAAGATGCCACTTTGATACAGATCTACTTGGACCTCATTCGTATTATTTCCAAATACTTGCAGAGCTTCCTTGTATAATGTAGATGAATGATTATAGCACATGTCCACCTGAAAACAATTTGATGTAATTATTTTTTTTTACCAAATTGGATTCCTTCTCGAACGTACAATATCGACATTTTTCTTTTCATAAAGACCATGTGCGAAAACTGCAACCACAAAAACATTTATAATCAACGAAATGAACAATGCAATACATGCTTCAATGAAAAAATACATATTGGCATCTCGCACTTTGGCCGCATCCTTTCGATTTACATCACGCGACTGCAGATGAAATAAAACATAGAAATTTGTTAGTATATTCGCTTCGATGTGTAATCAAATGTGATGTGATTTACTTTAACTAAAGCTGAATACAAGTACAAATTGTGCGGCTGAATTACAGCACCAACAATCCCGACAGCTGAGAACAATCGATGAAACGCATTATAATTATTTAATTTTATAAAATAAATGAATTTCTCACCTTGTATTAATTCCTTTGATCCACAATTCGTACACCAAGGAATAAACATTTGTTCAATAACTTCAATTTCACTTGGCGATGACACAACATACTAGATCAAAAAGTGATTTGAATGAAAAATTCGACCCAAAATAACCAAAAAAAAAGAGGATGTACCTCATAGCCAAAAGTGACAGCCATCACGGTGATCAGAAAACCGAATAACAATTCAAGTTTACGAAGTCCATACTTGTCCAGCATAAGAAATGAAAATGTATCGATTATAGTGATCAAAACACCGGCCCACAATGGAATCCTTTTGGAGAATATTTTTCAATTTTTTACAAAAAAAAAACCCAAAATAAGCATCTTTCATTTGCACATACATTTTGTTTGACAGCAGGAACAGAGCGATGGCCGTTCCAATGACTTCTTGCATATCCGAACCGATTATTGCAATTTCGGTCATGATCCACAAAATAATGCGCGGAATCGTTTTATATTGTTTATAACACATTTCAGCCAAATGAAGACCCGTTACTACTCCCAACCTAATTCAAACAGAAACTTCGTGAGATCCAACAGAGACGAGGTGTGTTTGTACACTTAATTACCGAGCTGCCAGTCGTTGCACAATTAAACCCAAAATCGTTGATGACATCAAAACCCAAAGCAATTTATATCTGGCAGCAACACCAGACTGGAGATCAGATTCAACATTTCCCGGATCCAAATAGGCAATTGACATTAAGAAACCGGGCCCAGTGAATGCACATAATTTTCGAAAACTAAATCCATCCTATTGAATGTCGAAATCAATTAAATCACGTCTTTTTTTATTTCTTTTCGAAGAACTCACATCATTATCTGGGATGTGAATCATCTCATCGGAAAAATAGGTGTCCAAATTTGAATTTAGAAGAGGTGTATTTTCGTTTGGCGCTTGTCGATTCGGTGTATCATTTGAGCTATTACTTGCAATTGGTATCGATGTTAAATCATCGCTGTTATCTGGCTCCGATGCATCATTTGTTGCCATTCTGTAAACAAATGCAATTGGCGAATTGTTCGTATTTTTTTTTCTATCAAATTTTCATACCTTACAACTGCACTCGATCGGCCCCCAATTCCAACCATGATGTAAAATTATAACTGGAAATAACAATCCTACAAATTTATATATTTTTGAGAACAAAGAGAGTACGGCATTTTATGTATGTCTTGGAATTTGGAATCCTTTGGTCAATATTGATATTTTTCGTGACTCAATTGAACGACAAAATAGCGAAAAACATGCTGATAATATTTTTTACGTATTCGGACTTGAGTCCCGCCGATTAGCGCAGTTATCATCTACTTTTACATAAAGTGACTTAGTATTTGCATAGCATTTTTACCGGAGTTTATATCAAGTTTGCTGAGACTAAATCATGCACATCAGACCGAACGAGTAGTTTTGGATGGAAACACAATCTTTTTTTTATCATAATTTTGATTTTAATGGAAAAAAAATTTGGTTGATATGCATAAAAGAAATTTTCCGAATGATTACCGATATTTTTGAACTTAAAAAACATTCTTGATGCCTTCAGCTATATGCTTAATTATTAAAACAATTCAATAGTAAACATAATTGATTTTGATTGAAATAGCTGAAATGATTCGATCAAAACTATAACGTAAGTAAATCCGTGAGAGTAATCAACGTGAGAGTAATCAACGTGAGAGCAATTATAACTTTCGTCACAATTATATAGAATTGTTGCTATCGTCTGTAAGAGTATTTTCAGATATAAACTAACGTACTCTCGCTACAAAATGAAAAAGACAGAATTCATAAAAATCTGCACGTTTAATGTTTAGTTATTCCGAGAAGTTGTTTCTTTTGCATGATATTGCAAATTTGTTGATGATTTGCGCTAATAATCTTTCGTATAACAACAATGACACACACTCAAAAGTGGTTCAAAAAATCTGTTATTTAGCATAAAAAAAGTTTCCTGTTTTTACTAATCCAGAATTTGACGTTCTTCATGAAAATAATTCTTCGTTTTTCTTTCATTCAACACTTTGTTCGTCATCGAAATTTAGACGGCGTATATTTTAGGTGTTAGTTATTGGCATGTATATGACTCAATGGTGAAGTGAGCGGGGATTTCCCTTTTTTCTGCAAATAAATGAAGCGAGTCAATCAACATTTCTTATTTTCATATCCAGGTTATCATGATTCATGTGCAATTTAATGATGTTTTTGGCTAATATGAACGATCTTTTCAATTTTGTATAGAATATGAAATAATTTTTTTTAAACGAATTCCTTTGGATTTGCGAAAAATCACTTATGCAAATACATCAAATTTCATCTTTTCTGTCTTAAGTTTGAAAATTAAATGTTGAATGTAATAAACGAAAACATTGTAATAGCAAAAAGTGTTTGGTTTTTCGATATCTGTACTGATCACTATTATTGTACTTTGAACAAATTTAATGGTAATTACATTGTACCTGAATTAAATTGACCTTCTCAATTCAGATGCTGTTAAAATGTTGCACTAATCAAACTTTGATGAAATATCTCACTAAATAAAATTGTAACAATATTCTCAATAATTATTTAACATTTTACTTTGCTACTCTCGTATGCATTTTGACTAGTTTTGACAATGGTATCGATGTGACTGGATGCAAATTTTTTTGCGTGAATCACCGACGACAAGGGTAGACTAAAGATCGTTTGTATGTGAGAGTAAAACGGACCGAAAAAGCCACACTATGATATAAACAAACCCACACTTGGTCAGTGCATGAGCGTTAAATATATAAAAGATAAAGAATAGAAATTCGTACATTGTTTATGGAGAGACGCAAATTCTGACTATATGAAGTCATGCGATATGGAATCAACTTTGTTCCGTTAATATTATAGTGTATACTAAAGATAAATAAAAAAACAACTTTCATTTGAAATAATTGCGATAACAGTGTTTATTTTGCATTGCGTCCTATAAATATAATTCTTATATCGATCAATGTTCGCAATGGAGGCGATTTTTTAAATTATCGATGTTCGCAAGTTCATCGACTCGCAAATGTTGGTTTGTTCTTCCAACCATGTGATTTATTCCGGTCCTAATAGTAAGCTGGGTAATTCGGAGGCTGGTTTTGATTTTTCATGAAAAATTTGAAGTGAACCACCACTGTCTTCTCTACAACTGCCATCTTTTCCATTTGGATCATGGGATCCCCCAAATCAAGCGCACGGTATTCAAAAAAAATCAAGATAGCGCAGTAGTCGATACGGTTTTGGAAATTCTACTGTTTCAGTTTCATTAATCCGAATTATTAAGCCGGGGTTTTCCCAAACCACTAATTTTTCGCGTCCGAAATTTCGTGAAAATGCTAATTCGGCGACTGGTTTCAGCTGCTTGTATGCACGAACAATATTCAAAAGATCTCCGATACTCAAATACAAGAAAATGTTCTCTAGACAATCCTCGTTCATGTCCATCAGATTTGTTTTTGATGGCTTGGATTTTTGTTCACGATCCATGCATCGTCGCCACTTTTTCGAAAAGAATCTAATCATTTTTGACGCTTGACTATTCGGCTGAAAAGTTCGTATCGTTTCTAAGAAAGGGCGCTACCATAACTAAATCCATTATGTTTCTGGAAAGTACCATCCTTTCAAGGCATACATA